TTTTCAGCCTACTTAACTTATTTCTGCTAATTTCAGCTTGTTGTGCTTCTTTCAGCTTATTTCTGATAGTTTCAGTTATTTCAGCTACTATTTAGCTGTTTTATGCTCATTTTAGCTTTTTCAGGTAATTCCACATTTTTTGCACTCATTTCATCTTTTTTCAGCCTAATTCAGCAAAAAATGTGCTCTCTCTACTTCCTTCTAGTGATTTCAGCTTATTTCTGCCTTTTTAGCTACATTTTAGCTGCTTTTTTTGTTGCTAATTTAATATTTTTTCAGAAAAATTCCACTCTTGTGCTCATTTTTGCTTCTTTCAGCCTAATAGGGGGAACATGTTCTTTCTGCTTTCTTTTGCTAATTTAAACTTGTTCCACCTTTTCAGCTACCTTTTTAGCTAATTTTAGCTGTTGTTAGATAAATCCAAAATTTTCATGGTAACCTCTGCTTCTTTCAGCCTACTTAACTTCTTTATGCTGATTTCAGCTTGTTATGCTCCTTTCAGCTTATTTCTGATCGTTTCAGCTATTATTTAGCCGTTTTATGCTAATTTTAGCATTTTAAACTAATTTCACTTTTTTTTCACTAATTTCAACTTTTTTCAACTTAATTCAGCAAAAATGTGCTCTCTCCACTTTCTTCCAGTAATTTAAGCTTCTTTTTGAATTTCCAGCTACTTTTCAGTTTTTTATGCTAATTTCAGCATTTTAGCTAATTTCCTAATTTTTGTGCTCATTTCTGCCCTTTTAACCCTAATTCAGCAAATATATGTTATTTCTGCTTTCTTCTGCTAATTTAGGCTTGTTCTTCCATTTCAGCTACATTTCATCATGTTTTTAACTAACTTCAGCTGTTTTTCAACACGTTCCTCAGCAAAAATCATTTTCACAGGAAATGCAATTTCTCTAGTTTAGGATTGTAAACAAACCCAGGTAGTTCAGGTTTGTCTCGTGAACGCATGCACTTGAGGCTCATTTTGATAAGGTCTAAAAACATTCACGGATCTTTAACTTGTCTGTCTTAAAATAATGTAGTTTGTCAAAAATCATTGGATTTAAAAGCATGTTTTTGTGTTTCATCAGCTGATTTATTTTGAAGCTGTAAGTGCACGTGGTACAAAACCTGCTTCTCTAGATGTCATCGTTAAAGTCAGCCGAGGATTCAACACTTACTGTAGAGTCATTCACAAAAACCTCCTTAATTAATTTGCAAAGAGTGTTTTTTTTTTTTCTAAGCAGTGGGAAAAGTTTGATCGCAGCCAGACGGACGGGCACGATGATCACAGTCCAAAAGATTTAATGTCTTCAATAAAAGGGAAACTTTCCAAAGAGCATGTGACTGTACATGCCGTGCAAAACGTTCTGACCTGTGTCGGCGCAGCGTTGATCGTAGGAACACACACAGCCAGAAAACACAAACGCAAGAGTGTGTGTGAGGTGGCAGCTGCTCCCATTTTCCTCTTCCCAGTCGCTGTGCTTTTCCTTCAGCAGCAAAAACTCCCTCTGCACCTCGGAGTCGCGCCGCACTCTTTCCCTCCTGGAACAACAGCAGGAATCTCTCTCCCATTAGACGTGAATGGGAGGGTTCACACACCCCTTTGGTTTGGAGGGGGAGAGGAAAAAACAGGTATCCCTGCTGTCTTTTCCTTTCTGTCTTCTTCAACACGAGTCTCCTTTCTTCCAAACAACAGGAAAGCTCTTTGTTTTTGCTTCAGCCTCCCATTTCCACGCTTTGTGTGAGCGCTGTGGATTCACACGGGTCTCTGTCCTGTGGAAACGTCTCCAAAATAGAAACTGTCCACAAAGACAAACAGCCTGCTTTAATTTGGACAGCTTCAAGGTTGTCCACAGGAGAACTTTACCCTTCGAGACAAACCATCACACAATACCAGCTCGTCAGCGGACAGAAAGATGTCAGCTGATCTAACATTTATACATGAATTAATAACTGTTGACCGAGTGAAGAAAGATTTCTTTGGACAATCCTTCATTTCATTAGAAAATCTGCAACAGGACTGAAAAAAAACACCCGTATGAGTTATAAGCCAAGTTTTAACATTATCACATCACAATACATTGATCATAAGCTGTGAACAAACCATACAATTAAAACACTTAAGCGTTACTTTAATGAAAATAAGGAGAAAGTCAGATTAAATGGACTTTAACGTACAAGTTAGAAAATCCATATTTAACAAAAGTGTGATGTTTCAATTAACAAAATTACCGTACATCAACATCTCTGCATCATGCTTCCACATGGACACGGAAAATCAAGAAATGCTATCAGTTACCGTAATTTTCGCTGTATAAGTTGCACCTTTTTGCATAAATTAGCACGCCCTGCGACTTATACAGCAAACCGACTTATGTTTTTTCCCTCCATATTTTTAACCAATTTTTGGCCGAGATATGACGATTTCATTCGTTCTGACATGGAAAATATTGAACACTACCATTTTCAGCCACTAGAGGGCCCTCGAGTAATATGGCAAGCCAAGTGTCTCATCAATAGGTAAAAGTGGCTATTAATGAGACACATGGCTTGCCATACAAAGCCACCTTCGTCTCGCTCAGGAACTCGTGGAGCAAACGTCAAATCAGCTGCATTTCGCCGCGCCGCCCAGACGAAATGCAGCTGATTTGACCATTAAAGTGCATTTATTAAGGAAAGTTCAACTGAGACACACCTTTTCTATAATTTCGAGGAGTAACCAGGAGGCATCAAACGCCTCCCAGTAATTAGAATGGTATTATACTTTATACACGCCCTAAAAATAAACTTGATATTTTTCTTTTACAGCTCAGATCATGTGAAGAACATTACAGATCACGTCTTCCAAAACCAAAGGCTAGTACGACTTTGGTTCAGATGACGTGCAGGATGTTTGGTGTGAACCGGTCCTGTAAACAAACCCACAGAAAACTTATAACACTGAAGCACGGAGGAGGGAGTGTGATGATATGGGTTTTGCAGGACTGCAAGCAGAGTTTGGGGTTTTTTTTTTTTAGATGGCAACAAATCGTTGCGTAGATTTAGAAAAGTCCGTGACGACGTAGACTTCATGTCAAGTTTGGATGAAGCCTGAAGTTTTAAACCCAAAGCCAACAAGTACAAAGTCACCAGCAGAGTATCCAGTAGTACCAGTATCAACGATGAAAAAGCTTCCAGCTCAAAAGTTACTTTCAGCTCATTCTTTGTTTCTGTTTTTTTAAGTGTCTTTGCAGCCTGATCATCAGTTTAGTTTGACTTTTAGTGAAAGTTCTGCCTTGTGGATCCCTGATCACTTCTGATCACGTGTGCTTTCAAAGAGGCTGAACACGGTCACCTGAAATGCTAATCTTAGGGCTTCGAAGGGGTTTATCTTTGTTTATTTTTATTTATTAACCTTTATTTAACCAGGCAAATTCCACTGATCTCTTTGGCAAGGGAGGCCTGGGCCTAACGTGCATGTTTTTGTTCTGTGGGAGGAAACCGGAGTACCTGGTACCCATGCATGCATGAGAAGAACATGCAGACTCCACCCAGAAAGACCCCAGGTCCTCCCGGGGATTGAACCCAGGATCTTCTTGCTGCGAGGCAACAGCGCTAACCACTGAGCCGCCGTGCTGCCGTTTGTGTTTCTGTTTATAAAGTTTCCAAGCAGAAGGTGAGTAGAAGAACCTGGCAAATCTCATACGAGTTTCTAAAGCACGAAACCGTTAAAACAGTAAACTGAGACGTAAATTTATTCAGCGAAACGCCTTTAATTCACCTTTAAACGAAGGTCGACCTGACCAAAAGAAAGAAAAAATGACTTAAGTGATGTTGCATACTCTTTCTGTTTTACACAGTGGTGAAATATGTGCACCTATAATTATTTGTAGAGTTTTAAATCGTATCAGATGGTGCTTATAAGAATACGTCTTTATATTAATCACCTCTCCAGGCAGCAATATTCTGCTTTAGAGGAAGTTAGACCAATTTAGAGCTAGCATGGTAATAATATCCTGTACATATGATGCAAAAACGATAGCTCTTGGAATAAAATCACAATTATTGTAAAAATGGAAGTGCAAATGCAACTTTAAACTGCTGATTGTATCATAACAGGAGCTTGTTGCAACAAATAAAGAACCTTTCTTTTATTAAAAAATGCACCACCTCTTTTTAACTTCTACTTTGTCAGAAACCTACAATAAACTCACATTTATGTTCTGTTTTTTATGACTTGAGTCTTCAGCGTCCACATGCGTTCCACTCATGAGCACACTGGGGTCGTTATTTCACACATGCCTTGTATTAATGTAACTATATTAGGTCTGCGGTAAAGCCTTCTTTGTATAATTAAATTATTAGTGGTGACAGAAATATGGGTCGTGAATCTGTTCAGGAAATGATGGCGTTGACAGAAAATAGAGGTTACGTAAAAGCCCGTGCTAGCGCGTGCGCGCGTGTGTTTGAAGCTATAGCAGGAGGTGTGCCAGTTAAAATGTCTCTAATCCAACATAATTTTCAAGAAACCCGTTGAGGCAGGAGGGCTCGGGGATGTGGAGACTGGGAGGGTCAGACACGGTTTAAGTCTGCAGGACGTCTACAGATGTTTCAGTAGCAAGATCAATTCCAGAAACATTTCCAGGCCTCACGGCTGGAAAGTAAAATGCGTCCATTAAAAATGTTTGATCCAGTTTGGTTTAATCATAGTTTTAGTGTTTTTTTAATCTCCATGGGGTAATTTGATTAACAGTATGCAGCATTAGTTAAACATACACCACTTTGTGCTTATGATTTTATTTCTATAATAAATCAGTCATGGTCAAAAAAAGTTGTTAATCCCGAGGTTGTAGGTTCCAGCTCAGGTTGTGTCGAGGGGCATCCGGCGTGAAGCACTCACCAAATCTTTCATGCGAGGTTGCTCGCTGTGGCGCACCCTGCAGAAGGGAGCAGCCCAAAGAAAAACAACACTACTGTAATACCAATTTTAAAAAAACATGCAACGTAAAATAACTGATTGCATGAATGCTTCACCCCCTTTTACGTGTCTGTCCTAAATTAACTTAAAGCAAAGGTTCTTGAAAAGTCCAAGTCAGGGGTTAAGTACAATTTCCAAGGCTCTAAACACCCCCCAGGAGTTCTGCTGGGTCCCTCATCAAGAAATGGGACATGTGCAAATCTACCAAGAGCTGGTCGTCCTCAAACTGAGAGACAGTGCAGGAAGGAGAACAGTGAGGGGGACCACTCTGGAAGAGTTCGGAGAGACCGTGCATACGTCAGCTGTTGCCCGAGTTCTTCACCGGTCTAAGTTTTACGGGCGAGTGGCAAAGAGAAAGACGCTGTTGAAGAAAACTCAACCGAGAACACCAGAGTTTTCCACATGCCTTTTGGCAAACTCTAGTCAAAGATTCAAGGATCATCTTTTACTTGCTTCTTCCATTTTGGGTCACGGGGGTCGCCCATGTCCAGCAGTCACTGTGCGAGGGGCGGGGGACACCCTGGACGGGTCTCAAGTCCATCACAGGGACACATGGAGACAAACGAGACAACCACTCAGATTCAAGGATTTGATTCTTTATTGTCGTTCGCAGCACGTGGTACGTGGAACGACATTATGTACACGGGGTCCCAGTTAACATCCAACAATAGCAAAAATATAAAGTGTAAAAAGAAACGGTAAATAAGGATCTAAGATATAAACTACGATATATATTAAACGAACGCCCGACGGTACGCTAAACACTAATGGTGCAAAACAATACACTGAACAACAGCAGCACGAGTCTCATGTTCTGTTCGGTTATAATTTACACGATTAATGCGAGCACTAACATAAACTGGGATTTATTCAAAGCATGCAACAAAAATACAGAAACAAGGCGCCAAACGTGGAAAATCAATAACTCTACAGCAGCATGGTCCAGTTAGCAAAGACTAAAGTCATTTATGTTTTTTTTTTTATTTTCTGTCAAAAAGGTAATTTTATAAAAGGGTAAACCATCCAAGCAGGGGATACTTTTAATTATTCCCTGGGGTAAAAACTATGAAACTTGTCAAATTGTCTGTTAAAGAGGGACGTTGGCCAAGATGGCGGTAGGGCAGCCGATGGGACCAGAACGTCGCGGTTCGACTCCCCGACATGCCCACACGTCTTGGTGTCCTCCCCGGGTGCTCACGTAGCTGCCCACTGCTCCACCTGGCTGCATCTCAGGTGTGATGGGTGCAGAGATCTGATTTTGTCAATGTATGGATTATATTTACCGATACGTTGGCTTTTTACCATTTTTACTTTTTGTTCTGCCAAAACCTTTAGATGTCTTTGTTCACAGACTTTATGAGGATCTCGTCAAAGCTCCAACTTCTGTTAGAAAATATCAAATTTCCGCTTTGAGACGTCGACATAAAATCTTATTTACTTCATAATACACCACGATTTGATTGTTTTATACCACTACTTTTTTATTTTTACTTTATTTGCAATCTATTTTTGTTTATTGTTGTGTGTACCTCATGTGTGGTTTTAGGTTTATTTTGTAAATGAGTCCTCGTGACTCAGTGAGACCAACCTGTAGAAACAAAGCTTGAATGAATGACTGCTTTAATAATGTTAGACTTATGGAAACACTGTTAACACAAGTCTGCTTCTGTTCTGATTCTTAAGTTTTATACCAGGCCATGATTTTCATTCAGCCGACTATTCTCTGATTTTTTTTTTAAACTCAAAATATTTTCAGAAAACAAAACGGCCTTTCAGGTTTTCTCAGCGTTGGGTGGTCTTGGAGGGAGGCGACTGGACTGGACAGAGGAGCCTCAGTCCAACCAGGGATGCTGCAACACAAACGTAAAAACCATTAAGCTGTGATTGATGATGTGTCCAGATGTTAGCTGCTCATGGTCTGACTCCGTTCCTAAATGGTTAATTGTACCTGGTCCGTGTGAAGCGTTCTAATGTAGTAAAATGGTATTGATCCAGTTTTGTACTCGAGTCATCAAGTTGAGTCTTTTGACTCCAGAAAATACACCGAATTAATATTTAGTTGTGTTTCAGTCTGTGATCATGTTCGGTGGACTTGCCACGTTCCTCATTACGAGTTTATCGACTAATTTAAAAAATACAAAACACTGCTTTGAACTTGATATGTGGCTATTTAGCTCATTTTGGCTGCCAGCCAAAATATATGATTATTCTATTGTCCTATATATGATGTTCCAGAATTGCGCCGCTCGGGGTGGCTGCATGTTGGAGCAGCTCTGTTACATTCATTCCGAGTTATTGCTTTTAAAAACTTTTAATTCCTCTTTTTCTGGATGTAAAATCACTTTTTTCGGATGATTATTTACTCTGGTATCAGATGCTGCGCAGCTGGAAGGATTTTTACCGAAACCTTTTACGTTAGGGCATTTGTTATGATGCGTAACCATGGCAACAAGGTGTTTTTTTAACAACCAGGAGCAGCTGATCAACATCTCAAAAGCTTAAATACCTCAACTACAACCCCACATCCCAAATTAGTTGAAAAGGAGGTGCCATGGACGAATTCCCGTCAACCTGGCAGCGGTGCTCGGGTACCTGACTGCCGAGATCACCTGATTAGCTCGTGACAACGGGAGGACCGGTATCGTCCCCCGGCACCTTCAGCTGTCTGTGGCGGTGAGGAGCTCAGCAGACTGCTGGGAGGAGTGACCATCGCTCAGGGAGGAATTCTGCCGGGCATTAGGGCGGTCCTGCTGCCCAGGAGGACCGAGGCCCGCTGGATCTGATGGCAAGCTGGATCCAGGTGGACAGATCAGTATCTGTGGCCAGATTCTTCCTGCCCACAGCTCTCAGCATCTATAACAACTGAATGAAACCAGGATGAGCTACGACACTTAATTTCCCTCTGGGATTAATAGTTTTTTTTAAAAATGAATTATGTCTCTTCTGAAGTGGAATTGAGACGTTTATTTTATTCATATGGTCTGAGGTGATATATTTTATATTTTACACTCGGCATTTATTTTTATTTAAAAATACATTTAAGCAGAATTGTGGTCGTTATCCTACTTTAATAAACTTAAATCCTCTCCCAGGCTCAGCCCTGAAGTTATTCACAGCTGAACATTTATTTCTGCATCCATTGTTGAATTTTTTGACTGTGCGGCAAAAGCTTGAGAGAAAAATCTGCAGTCAGTGCTCCATTCCAGATCTGCTGTGTTAAACTTACATCAGTACAAACTGTTCAGGAACTATGATAAAGAAATTACTTTTTTAGTGTTGTGCATTTGATTTATTGATTTATTTTGATAAACAGTTGTCGCTTACAGCTTGTTAGCTTAGCATAAAGGTTGCACTCCACGTCCAAGCAGATGTAGCCTTCAGTTATATGTTGAACACTGAAAATACAGAATATATCTTAGTCATTATAACTTCAAATACGAAACGCTGAATTGCTTTGAACTCTGTAAAGTCTTTTCAGAAACGAGACCTCGGCGGTTTGATGGTTCTGAACCGTGACACTTCGCGTTGTTCGTCATTCATCCCTACTTGGTTTTTTTATATTCTAAACACACAATCTAGAACAAAATAACTCCTTTACATAAAACAGTAAAGTGGTTAAAAATTAATTTGACAGAAAAACAAACATCTGCATTTCATTTATTTTCAAACTAATAAATGAATGAGTGCATTATTCACACAACAGAAGATACAATCAGAGGATTAAAATATAAAACTCGGTAAAATAGTTCTCTAGATAGGTTCTGTTTTGGGCTGGGACACGAACATGATCCCTGCCACTCTTGTTTCCCAACAGGCAAACGTTTCGATGTGTATACGGATATTTATCAAAGCATAAAGATCTGCGCCGCTTTGGTTTAAGGTGAAAGTTGTGATGTAGTGAGAAGTGTCGGTGTGGAGCTACATCTGTACAAGATCTTCAACATCTGGGCACACAACCCATTACCAGGACTTCAGCTTTACCATCTTTGTCCTAATCCCTAAATGAACAAGTTTAATTTTAGATTGGAATATTTAAATTAAAAATATATTCTGACAAAATGACATGATTTTCCCATCAAGTCTTAAATACTTCCCAGTAACTAACGGTTTAATATCTGCAGGACAGGACTACACCACTGACGACTACAATCTATAAAACCTGGAGGTTTATGCATTAAAAATATGTATAGTAATAAATAAAAGCACAGAAGAGCAAACTGAATTTGACAGTTTTAGATTCGTAGTGAAGAACTGTTTGCTAAAGTAGGAGCTCCGTGACACTGCAGCCACATTTTCAGCAACAAATCAACATTTTTTGTGACTAATATTTGCAGAAGTTTTCAAATATGTCCACAAATGGAAACCTCACTTGATGTCCAATAATTTTATTCCTATGCCATTCAGCTTATCTTCACGTGCACCGTAGGAGTAAAACTGAGTGTTTGGCAATAAGTTTAAACATCAGAAAGGATGATGGAAGAAAAAAATAAAACAAAGCGCCAGCATAAAGGAGGCGAGATCATGTCTCAACAAACCACTGAGGATGATGACGAGCATAACGTGATCATTTTGAAGAACGGCGTCTCTTAAATCTAGAAGGGGATGTTGGTGGCCATGGCAGTGTGGTCCTTCATGAAAGTGATGATGAGGAGGCGGTAACTGGTCTCAGACGAGGGTTACCAGTTGTCTAAGAAGTCAAATCCAGTCTTCAGGATGTTGCTGCTCGTGTTAAACTGTAAGAAAAAGCGCACGTTTGACCAATCGGCATGCTTGTTCGCATTTGATGTCCAGTAAGTCGGACTAATGAGAAGTGAATCTAAAGCACGAGCCGTTTCAGGACTCACCTGGGAAAAGGTGGCGCTGTCCACGTTGGGCGACCCCTCGTCCTCCTTCTCCACAGCAGCAGCGGGGTTAGAAGGCTTCGACATCAAGCTAGAGGAGAACATTTCGTCCACAGTGTTGCTGACTGACGGCAGGGTGCTCTGAGATCTCTCCCAGCCTCCAACAGAGACGCTGACAGGTGGGACAGGGGCTGGGGCGATGGAGATGGATGCGGGCGTTGCACTGACGGCGGTGGGGGCGGGGGGCTGGGGGGCAGGAGGCTTGGGCGCTCTCGGCTTGATGCTTTTGGCAGCAACTGGAGGATGAGACTCTGTTGCCTCAGGCTCCTTGGAGTTCAAGGAGCTCTCCTGAAGATACATTTTAATGTGACAGAGCTGAATCATAAACGAACACTCGTTACTGGAAATTGTGCCAAAAATAACTTGCGAGAAGAAAATATCAGACAAAACAATTTCTGGAAGAAGTTAAAAAAGAAAATACACCAAAAAGTTTTTAGTTCGTACCGGTCTGAGGTAGGAAGGGAGGGGTTTCTCTCCTTTCTCCAGGGATTTGATCTGACTGGGGGTCAAGGACTGGAAGTCCGCTTTCTCACCTTCCAGTCTTGACCTCTCGGCACTGATCTTCCAGAACGATGACTCCTCCTCAGGCCTTCGTCCCTCACTCACAGATACCTTAATATTCATATTATAACAGTCCTGATCAAGAATTGCAGATGTGGAATAGAAGACGCAGGCAATCATCTATAAATTTAAATAATTCTTGACTCAAGATAATTCTGTCTGAAAAACCTTGTATGTAAGAATACTTCATCACCACATCATCTTAGGACTACTTAAATGCTATGTTTAAACACAATAATATATATATATATACATATATATACACACCAGAAAACCACATCAGTTTACAGTTTAGAAAAATGAATCCATACCTTGGTTCCTGGCGTAGTCTTGCCAGGCTGACTGGAATGAGAAACCTTTGCAGTCTTGGTGTCAACCTGGGAAACGGTGATCACTTGATCTGTGGAGCCTGGGGCCAAGCTGAACTCCATCTGACTCTGAAAGATAAGAAATCATTTTAGAACGGCATTCAGATTTATCTTTACCACGTATCAATGTGTACCGCAGCACTGAATCAGGTTATACCTTTGTTTCCCAGGAGAAGGGGGCAGAATGTTCATCCTGCCACGTAATGTCCTAAAATAGAAAACACAGGATTGGATCAGTAAGTTCATGGTTAAAAATACTCACTGCAAAAAAAAATAAAAAATCACCAAAAAGTAAGAAACAAAATTGGCACTTCTTCCCCTCTAATCAATGATTATTACAGCTCTAAAATAAAAATAAAAACTTGGATGTAAATTTTGTGAACGGCTGCAAGCTACCGTCACAGACGTCTACACCTCCAGATGCAGGAAGAGGGCCACCTGCATCATGAAGGACCCCACTCACCCAGCACACACACTTTTTGTCCCGCTCCCCTCAGGCAGAAGGTTGAGGAGCATTACGTGTAGAACCACTAGACTGAGGAACAGCTTCTACCCTGAAGCTGTTAAGACTCATAAATCCCTAACCAGAAAAATCACTGTAATGCCACTAATTGGTGATACGTGGCAGATTATCCATGCTGCTCATTTTTTTACCCATAAGCTGCTATATTCATACCCATCTGCTCACAACACACTCATGTTCAGGCTACTGTTTAATACACCGTATTACTTTAAAGTATTATTGTTTAGCATATATCTTGTTTTATTATATTTTGCTATTTTTGGGCGTAACCCTTGAGTACAAAATTTCGTTCCACCTCATGTACCACATGTGGTGTGAATGACAATAAAGAACCTCGACACAGCAGAAATGACTGAAAACGTTGGTTACGTACTGTAACCCCAGATTCTATGAATATAGGCGTAGCCCTTTAAGGCTGTCGCTGATGGTTTATCCCGTTATGCGCAGCATAAGCACTGAAAAAAAATTAGTCCACGCCCACCTGCTGTGTGGGCCCCACCCGGTCCGTATAAATTACGTTAAGAGCGGGAAATCGGCTCCCAAAATAGCTTTTTTCTTCAGCCATTTAGGAGCCAGTGAGGCCCGACGCTTAAAGGGCTACGCCTATATTCATAGAATCTGGGGTTACAGTACGTAACCAACGTTCTATTTCATATAGGCTTCGCCCTTTAAGGCTGTCGCTGATGGTTTAAGGGCGAAGCGGATGTGGTCCTCGCCTCACTGGGTCCATTCGAACACAGTAAGAAGCGGAAGCTTGCCCAAAAAACGTCTTGTCACTCAGCTCCCCGTGTGCATAAACTACGCATCGCGTAATTATGTGCCATGCACAGACGCATGTTGTGTAACTATGCGTTCTGACAAACATGAATACCCCGGAAAAGCTTTCAACATGAAGAAGAAGTTGAAAAGAGGGGGGGGGGGGGGGGCATGAACCAACTGGTTCATGGCTGAACAGTATAAACAGATTAATGTCCATGAATTGATCAATAATCAAATGAACTGATTGTTAACAATAATCATGAACTGATTAGTGACAATAGAACCAAAATCACAGACACGACTGTGACTGAAAACAACATCTCACACTGTAATGCATGCAGACAGAAGTGAGCTTAAACAGAGTTCCATGAGAACAACAATATTCATTCTGTTAGGGCACTAAGGACAGAATGTGTCATGGAACGAGCCGTTACATCACGTAGGTAAAAGCGAATAAATGAGCAGGGTGTTGACCATGCAGCCGCAGTGCAAATGTCCTGCATTGACATACCATTATGCAGAGCAGTCGAAGATGCGATACCCCTGGTCGAGTGTGCTTAGAGGTTGACAGGAGGCCCTAAATCTGATGCTCTGTAGGCTTCAGAAAAAGGCCTCACACAGCCAGTGTGACAAGCGCTGGATGGATAACGGCGACCTGCAGAAGCATCTCTATAATGCACAAACAATTGTTGAATTTGAACGCATTGCAGCTGTGCGCGTTACGTAACACGTCAACGCCTGCATCGGGCAGAGAAGATGAACAGATGCTTCCCCTTCTGATCTGTGGGGGGGAAAAGACCCCTCCAACGACATCACTCTTGATTTAAAAGAGCTCGTGATGTTTTAGGCATAAAAGCTGGGTTGGTCTTAAAACAGCTGAGCTGCCCGTCAGCCTAATTCTAAGGCATGACGAAACAACAGAGAGGGCAGATAATTACTTACCCTCTTAGCGGGTGTTAAAACCAGCAGCAGGACTGTTTAAAGAGACAAGAATTTAAATGAAAACTGATCCAGAGGCTCAATTGAAGCTTTGATCAGGGCTCGCAGGACCAGCGTTAAATCCCACTGTGGAACAAGTGGGCATGAAACAGGCCTACATCTCTGAACACCTTTTAGAAACCGCTTCATCAGCGGGTGGTTAAAAGCTGTTCTGTCTCCAAACCCTTTGTGGCAGGAAGAGATGGCTGCAACGTACGTTAAAGCGTACTGAAAACCAACTCCCTATCCATCAGGTGTTGTAGAAAAACAACACGCTGCCTAAAAAGCATGAAGTGGTCTCTAAACCTTCTCTGTACACCAGCGCTGACAAGCCGTACCCTTGATGTGTACAGAACTGTGGTAGATGCAGCACGTGAATCTTGAATTGTGCACACTATCTCCTGAGGGAGACCCATCCTCTAAGTGGGACCGCTCAGCGGTCAGACCCACAGGTGTTGACCTATTTCTGGGTAACTCTTGGTCGCTCCTCCTGCCTGAAGGAGAGCATCCTTCCTCCACGACAGTTCCACGGCGACCCCACAACCGACGTTGCAGGCCTGGGAACCATAGTGCGTTCACACGCCGGGAGCCACCAGGAGAGCTGTCAATCCCTCCTCCTGAACTCGGTTCATGGACCGTAAAAAAAACAGAGGAGGTGAGGGAAAAGAAACGCGTAAAAAGCGTTTTGGGCCACCGACTGTGAGCAAATGCGTCCCCCCCAGCGATGGATCGTCTCGCGGGCTCAGGGAAAAAACCGTAGTTGACATTGCGCGTTCTTCTCGCGTCGCAAACAGGTCCACAGCTGCTTTGCCAACTTCTGCTGTGTCTGAAAAACATCAGATCCGGATGGAGGATCCGGTCCACATAACGTGGGCCGCCCTTGGACGTCACATCAGCCCCTCTGTTCAGAACATCGGATATGTAAACTGCTCTAATAAAAGCAGGTTTGATGAACCCAACTCAGTAGCTTCCGCGCAATGTGTAACATCTGGGCTGAACGCACACCCCCCTGGCGGTTTATGTACGCAGCAGTCACCATGTTGTCTGTGTGAATCAACACGTGTTGATTCTGTAGCACGGGAGCAAAATGTTGAATCACATTCAGCACTGTGCGACACTCCAAAACATTGATGTGGGCTGATGTGCGGTGGGGCCACAGCGCCCCTACTGCTTGAGATAGGCATGTTCCCCCCCCCAACCTGACAGAGACGCGTCCGTGAAGACTGACACGTGACGTGGGTCTGCTGACGGGGACTCCCTCTGACAGAGCCAGGGTGTTTCCCCAGTGTCGGAGGTCTGCTCCCATGGAGGGAGGGACAGTGATCATCCGTCTCTTTTGTTTTACTGGATCCACACGCAGACGCGTAAACCACCTCTGGAGGCGTCTCATGTGTAACAAACCCAGCGGGACCACTGTGTGAGCTGATGACGTCATTCCCAACAGCTTCATGACGGAGACAGCTGTTACCACTTTGCCAGGTCTTACGTGGCGTAATTGGTTTTTAGAGTGTCGATTCTTGTTTGTGATAAACGAGCCGTCATGGTAATTGAGTTTAATTCCACTCCCAGATAACAATTATCTGGGCCGGGAAAATCGAGCTCTTCTTCCAGTTATGGCGAAACCCAGATTTAGCAGGTGTGATGCTAACACCTGAGCCTGTATCAATGCTTCCTGTCTGGAGTGAGACAGGGGCAGCAGGTCGTCCAGGTAAAAACAAAACTCTCATCCCTGCTTGTGCAGTGGATGCAGGGCTGTCTCCACACACTTTGAGAACGTACGAGGCGCGAGGGAGTACCCAAAAAAGGCAACCTGTTGTACTGGTACTTCATCCCTTGAAAGGCGAAACGCAGAAATTTTCTGTGTTTTGGGATGATTGGTGTGTGAAAATAGGCATCTTTTAAAACGATGGAGACAAACCAGTCGTTTTCCTGGATGTTGTCCAACAGCTGTCTGTTCATCAACATGTGAAAAAATCTGTTCATGATCGCTTTGTTGAAAGCTGACAGATCCAGAATCGGTCTCATCCCTTCGGTCCTTTTGGGGACCAGGAAGTAGCGTGAGTAAAACCCTGTGTTTTCCTCCTCGTTGGGAACTCTTGAGATTACACCTTTTATCAGAAGCTCTTGGACTTCTGCATTTAAGGCTGAGACTTGGTCTGGTGATGACAGGACCGTCTCTATAACTCCTCCGAACGGAGGGGGTCGGGTTGCAAACTGCAGCGTGTAACCCTTGCATAACACTCTGTCCATCCATCTGTCCGGTGAGCATGTTTTTAACCACTCTGCGTGACGTTCGTGGAGTGGACGTGCGTTTAAATGATGTGCCGTGTTTTGAACGGATGTCATCCAAACCTCCGCCTCGACCGCCGTCATGCGTCGCGGAAATGTTTTCCGCGTGACCCAAGGCGAGGCTTTCTCGAAAGGGCTGTTCTGCGCGCGCCCGCGCGCTGTGACTGGATCGCGGACCAACCTTCATGTCCGGGCGGGGCGGTGTGTGCTGAGGCGAGGCGTGTGTCAGCTGATGAAGTGAAGGTTGTGAGCCTCGCGGGAGCGCACGTTTCCTCTGGAGGGACGCGCGCCGCTCTCGCTGAGGGCGGGGCCCGTCATTGGATTCATTCAGCTGTCTCACGCTTATGCCGCCGTGAGCTGCTGATCGCTGGGACGCGGTGGATGACGGCCACTCGCGTTCATACAGGAGAGGCGTGTGTTGTTTTCGCTGAGAGCAGGGACCTCCACCGGACCCGGCCTGCGGTCCCACATTTATCCCGATGTGGGCCGGTGAGCGCCGGGCAGCTGTGCGTGCATCATCGACACAGTGCCGTTGGATGGAGGCTGCTTGTCTCGCTCGGGAGCGCGTTAACACCGTTGGGAGGTGATCGTGCGGGTCTGATTGACAACAAGTTATTTCGCTTACCGTGGTGTCACGTGAGCGTCTGGGCATGTGAAGGAGCGGCGGTGGATTTAAAAAACCTTTATTTAAGGACACCGGCTCTTTATGAGTGGAGGGTGTGTGTGTAGCGGCTGTGAGCTCATCCGAGCTTACAGACTGGCTAAAAACAGGCATTTTGATCTTTGAAAAATCATTTATTCAATTCCTGTGTCATTTATACACACATCCTCCGCAGACCGTCATTTCTTAAAACTTCTCCCCCGTGAGCTCTGCGGTTTGTTTGCTCCGAGCGCCGTCTGCAGGCGATCTCTGGGGAAAACGCTGAAGTGCAGGCTGCCGGACTGAGGAGGGGTGGTCTCTGGCGGGCGGGGCTGGTGGTGGAGCTGGGCGAGACGAAGCTGCTGCTGCCGTGGAGCGTCGATGTTTCTGCCTCTGCTTTTGACGATCTCTCCAGCGGGCTGGAGGACGGAATGAGCCGCGCGGCTAGATGAGATGGCGTACAGCTTCCGACGTCTCCTCCGACTGCTTCGAATTCGTCAGCATGGACGTCAAGCTGCTTCCGAACAGCGCGTCCGATGAGATGGGGCCCTCCATCCGGTCTTTGTGCAGCTTTTCCGGCAGCAATGGAGAGTGACGGAGCCAGATGGAACGTTGGATTACCGTCATCCATGCTACAATCCTCGACAGGCAAACCGAGGGAGCGGCGCACATGTTGAGGATGGCGTCTGCCGATCTACACAGGGAGCTCTTTGTCTCCTCCGGCAGGTCTGAGGTCTCAGCCTTTTCGACATGCTAAATGCTAGCAGCGCATGTTGTTGCTAACTGCGGTTGCCTGAAAACACGTCGGTGGGCTCGATTGGAGAGCTTTGGTCGCCGTCTGGTTCCTCCGGAGGGACGGGACGCTGCTCCGACCTGGACAGCTTCGCTCCGGAAGCTTCCGCGAGGCTTGGCTCCAGGGGAGGGAACCGAGGAATAGCGTCAGTTGCCTTACAGAAGGAGTTCTTTGTCTCCAAGGCAGGTCTGCGGCCTTCAGTCCCTTGGACATGCTATATGCTAGCAGCGCACGTTGTTGCTAACTGCGGCTGCCTGGAAAAGCACGTCAGTGAAAAATAACCTTTCCGCCGATCATCCGAACTGGCGGGAAAAGGCGAGGGACGTAGAAAAAAGGGGTCCCTTCATGTCAGCCTCCTCCCGGGTTCCGCCGGGCAACCCCTGAGGGCGCTGTCGGCCGGGAGCGGTGTGATCGCCGATGCGAAACGAGGTGGGATGGGGTGAGCATTCACTCAGCCCCCCTCCACCTACACTACGCTCCCCGGGAGGGAATGAGCAGCGGGGGCTGCAGCTGAGCACACCTTGCCCCGGAGGAACCATCCGGTTCGCCCCGAGGGTCGGCGATAAGAGGAAAAACACAAGATGGCGTTGTCCAGCGTGTAATGACCTGTCACTGGGAAATGTTCCCGGACGCTTACCTTGGAATAAGACTGCTGTCATCTTCTCCTCGGGGAGGAGAACTCACCGGACGACCGGAGGTCGACTGCCGGGCCAAGCATCCTTCACAAGGTTGGTCATTTACACAATTTATCTTCTTTGTTCTTCTGACAGTGCTATATTAGCTCGCTGAAGAAAAAATGGGAGCCGATTTCCCGCTCTTAACGTAATTTATACGGACCGGGTGGGGCCCACACAGCAGGTGGGCGTGGACTAATTTTTTTTCAGTGCTTATGCTGCGCATAACGGGATAAACCATCAGCGACAGCCTTAAAGGGCGAAGCCTATATGAAATAGAACAGATCTACTACAATGGCGACATCCATGGACGAGGTGCTGGGATCAGTGGATCAGAGTGGGATCAAGTCTGATCATTTTGATGTGTTCTTATCTGTTAATCCCTTTGAGCCTCAGGGACCTGAAAACAATCACACACGTGGAAAACTACTGGAGTAAACATGTTCAAACTGCACCATTTCAAGACAAATGTCCGATTTCATGGCTCTTCTTCGCGTCTTCGTGTTTGTAGCCTCTAAAAAGCTACAAAAAAATAAAATCTATGGGTTTTCTTTGGATGCTTTGTAAACTTATTTTGAACACAGTCTTTGTACCTGCCAGTTTTCTGTCTTCTTTTATTTGTTGCCGTTTGTCTCAGGAATCATTTGATGAATACTTAAACAGTTCAAAATTATAATGAGGAATGGGGGGAAATGAAACCGACACTGTATAATACCTTAAAATATTTAGCTTCGTTACACAAAATGTATGACTGTTGATAGTTTGCGCACAAAAGGAGCCGTCGTGACGTTTGTGTTCGGCTACGTGGCTAGCAAACACCCGCTGTTAGCAAACAATAGCATAATAACACCCGTTTAACTTAAAGTTTAAATACCTCTTCACCAAAGTGAACTATCTTCTGGCCCGTCTGAATGAGGAGTTTGGGGTAACAGACCACTTCGTCTCGGTCAACTTTATGCATTGCGTATCGGGCTCGGATGTGCGGGTCCATCATACAGCTGTCGATGGCGGTGTCCTGCTCCTGCGGCGTCATTTGCTCCCACGACGAGCCGTATTCGGTTTTGATTTTTTCCCGCTCCTGCATTATCTTCTTGGCCATGGAGTTGATGGAGGAAAAATACTCAAACTTCTTATCCTCCATCCTGTGGGCATCGAGCCCCACAACAGTCGCGGCGGCCATCTTTAATAGCTTCCAGCTGTTGCGGCTGTTTGTGTCGAAGAAGGAAGTATGATCTGCGCAATCACGGAAGTGGACGTAGAAGGAAGTATGATCTGCGCAATCACGGAAGTGGACGTTTTCGGCCTAAATGGCGCCATCTTGTGCTCGAGACAGAAATCCTGTCGCTTTTTTAAATACATTTTTCTAAGTACTAATACTGCCTCCAAATCCCCCAAAAGGTTTTTAATAACACAAGTTAAGGAAAATTCATACATTAAACTGTATAAAATGTTAAGACAAGATAAAAAAAAAAAAAAAAAACACCAAACCCTTGACTAGTGATCATTATGGTCACCATGGTAACCGCACACCTGTTCCTCTCACTTCACCCTCAAGTAAGACTGACAGCAACTGACTGAAAAGTAAGCCTCAAACAAACAGTGGCTGTTTAAAAACTTAAAGTTTTATCCTGAATTCTTGAATCGTTTCTGATGATAACACGTAAATGTTTATTTTTTCGGAGACGCTTAAAACGCCATAAAACGGAATGACTTATTGACTTTTTCTACTTTGAAGTACGCCAAAGCTATAGAGCTCAAAAGTGCTGGGTTTTCTTGTTTGACTGTGATCCTTTTGTTCTCTATGGGGAAACAACAACAAAGTCCATGCTCAATAATCCAGGTATACAATCCAACATTTTTCAGTCAGGTCATCTGGACAGAAATATTTTATTTGTTTATTTTTGCAGATTTTGTCTGTACAAAAATGTATTGTACATTTTTCCTCATCAGTGTGCACTTTTTGATAACTTGCATGCTTTTTTAAAATCTGTGTGATATGAAATTGTTACAAAAATATAATAATAATTAAAAAAAACATGGAATAAATATTTTTTTCTGTTTTGACCTCATTTCTCTGTCCTTGTCTCTTTGGTCCAAATTTTTCTGTAAATTAGAAACGTGATTTTCTCTGAAACCCCACATATAATTAAAATCATACAGATAAAATGATCTATATATTTGAAAGTGTCGTAGAAAAAAAAAGACAAACAATCAGGTGTAGATTCAATCAAATTTATTACAAAGCTCTGGAGAACAGCCACAGACAGTGAATACAGTACAAATACAGTTTCTGGCATGTTCTGCTGGCTAAAACACAGTTTGTTTGATTTGTATTTCCTCCCTCATGTTCTAGCTCTAGTGTTATCAGAACCACAGCTGCAAAGACACAGAGGAGCCGCTGGAGATAAGAATTTCTCATGGATTCCTGGTGAACGAACCGTGGTGTCTACCAAAACATTCAAAAGTCTCGAACAAATAAAAAGATGGGGAACCATGACGCTTCAATGTCGTCTTACAGATAGTCACATCCAAAATGATTGTAATATTGAAAATGAAAACATTGCTATATCTTTCTAAAAGTTCACAATGACCTAACATGATAAAAGCAATATAAAGGTTATTATTATTATAGTAAAATAATATTGAATGTGTCAGGAATCATATCAATAAATAATATATTTCCATCACAAAATACTGTCAAAATCCTTTAAATCTTTTCTATGCATACATGTTTAAGGTGAAAATGAAACGTGACTAATGCTAATGTTAAACTCCGGGTACTGTATTTTTCTGACTATAAGTTGCACTTAAAATCCTTTAATTTTCTCAAAAATCGACAGTGCGCCTTATAGTCTGAAAAATACAGTATTTGTTTAATGAATTTGTAAAGTTTACAATCAAGTACAAATACAATCCTCATGAAGCCTTAAGCATAAGTACTTTTGTACACAACAAAATGTTGCAAATGTATATTATCCAATGGCAAAGAAGTAAAAGTGCTTGTTACACTTTAATTTGGCTTTAAGCCACTATGCTGTGTAAAAATCAGAAATCTAAGGCCAGTGTTTGTTCAGGTTCCTCTGACATTCAGCCTGGATCGAGCTGGGTCACAGAAAACTCATGCAAAGTCGTGCAACACGCTTATTTGGGAAAACAGTATTTTCAACTGGCCCACATAACATTATGTACAAAATAAAGAGCAAGAAACAAAACAAAAAGTTTAGTTCTTAACCATTTTTCCAGGGAAATTGTGTCACCGCATGTTCTTGTTTGTTACTGTAATGCACAATGAATCTTTTTGAACATTTTACGACTTCAGATATTAAAAAAAAAAATCTCATTTTAGAAACTTCACATCTTATAAATAAATAACTCAGTATAATGGCACGAGTGTGCACCATTAACACATCTAACCCTGTTAGTTCCTTCTTAAATTGTTTGGGTTTTTCAGATTCTGCAGAACAGACCTGAAGTTTTAGGCCGTGCTGGAGTCATGGAGGCTAAGCTTCTCGTTTTTCATCAGGCTGTCGCTGGTGAAACGGGGATGAATGGCGATGGCTGTCGTCGGCACAGTTTTCGATTTCCGTCTGGATGATTGACAACATGCCAGATAGAAGATCTCTGCCACGTTGAGCACAAGAGAGATGCAGGACATGACCAGCATGAAGATGATGAAGATGGTTTTCTCAGTGGGCCGAGACATGTAGCACTCCACGGTGAAGGGACACGGGGCCCGGGAGCAGACGATTAGTGGTTCCATGACAAACCCATACAGATAATACTGCCCCACTATGAACGCTACCTCCAGAACGATTCTGAAAAAGATGGAGGTCATGTAGTTTCCCAGCAGATTGCCTTTAATCCTGACTTTGCCTTTTTCGTCAGAGTACTTGGGAACTTTGACAAATTCACTACCAGAGTGGGTTTGGATGTATTCTCTCAGTTTTTTCTCTTTGTGAATGACGTGGATGACGTGACCGAGATAGAGGAGAGTTGGTGTCGAGACAAAGATAATCTGGAGGACCCAGAACCGAATGTGTGAGATTGGGAATGCGTAGTCGTAGCAGACGTTCTTACAACCAGGCTGTTTGGTGTTGCAAATCATTTTGGACTGTTCATCACTCCAAACCTGCAAAAATCAGTTGACAGAATTATTATTCATAATCTCTTTTATTCTTATTTTTAATTCTTACTCTACGTACAGTTTATAATTTCATTCTCCTTATCATTTACATTCTCATTCCTATTCTTGTTTTTTTATTCTTAATATTATTGTCAATATCAATCTGATTTTGTTCTAGTTATTCTTCTTGTTATTTTTGTTATTTTGAGTAATATTCTTTTTTTTTATTATTATTACCATTCATTCTAAACCAGCTACTGGGGAGCACAAACCAGTGTATATCTTGTGCTGGTCCCAAGCCAGAGTAAATGGTGAGGGCTGAGTCAGGAAGGGCATCCAATGTAAAACACTTTTGCCAAAACTATAATGAGAGTTCATCTACGCGACATCCTACCAGATCGGTTGAGGCCCGGATTAACAACGACCACCACCGGTGCTGTTGACTGTCGGTAGAAATTGTGCTACTGTTAGTCGAAGACCACGAGGAAGGAAACATGTCAGGAAACAGAGAGAGAAGAGTCAAGAATATAGGACTGAGTGTTGCAACTCTAAATGTGGGGACAACGACAGGCAAAGGTAGAGAGCTGGCTGGCATGATGCAGAGAAGGAAGGTAGATGTTTTATGTGTCCAAGAGACCAAGTGGAAGGGCAGCAAGGCTCACAGCACTGGAGCAAGATTAAAACTGTTTCAAAATGGTGTAGATAGAAAGAGAAATGGAGTAGGGGTGGTCCTGAAGGAGGACTAAGGAAAAAGCCAAAGATGAGATACATGGATGCAGAGAGGACATGGAGGTAACTGGAGTGAGGACAGAGGATGCAGAGGACAGAGTGAGATGAAGGAGGATGACTCGCTGTGGAGACCCATGAAGAAGGTAAAGCCGAAAGAAGAAGAAGATATATTCTAGAAATCCAATGGTATAAACGAGTGGTTCCCAACCACGGTCCTGGCGGAACACCGTCCTGCATGTTTTACTTGTTTCTCTGCTTTGACGCATCTGGTTTGAATGAATGAGTGATTGACAGGCTTCTGAAGAACTTGAGGAAGTAAGTAAATCACTGAATCAGGCATGTTGGAGCAGGAAACAACTGAAACATGCAGGAGGGTGTTCCTCAGGGACCAGGGTTGGGAACCACTGGTATAAATGATGGAGTTCTATTTTTTTCCCAATATTTTAAAGCTAAAATATTTTCAAGTTGTACAAATAAATGTTTGAGCTGTTGCTGTTATGCTGTATTATTTTACATTATTAGTGTTCAGCGTGTATTTAGATCTTTTAGCTGATACCCTTTGGCATTCGTTTAGCGGATATCTTCTTACATCCTTCTATACTGTTTTTTTTTAATACTTTATATTTTTGCTATTTTGGGGTGTAACTGAGACCCTGAGTACATAATTTCGTTCCACCTCATGTACCACATGTGATGCGAATGATAATAAACTTGACTTGAACTTGAAATATTCAATTTAACCTGAGACCGGTCAAGTGTTGTACCTCAAAGTGGCCACCAGAGGGCGACATTTAACCTGAGAGGATTATTAAAGCCTGTGAACAAGTTTGTGTTGTGACAGAAGACAAGTGTAAAAGCAGCAGCAGACCTTCTCAGCTCCAGCTCCGAGGACCATGATCCTGAAGATAAAAAGCACACTGAGCCAGACTTTTCCCACGACAGTGGAGTGGGTCTGGACCTTATTCAGCAGCGATGACAGAAAACCCCACTCACCCATGGTGTCTGCAAACAAAGACATGTTTACACTTTAATGAACTATAATCATTTAGGTTTTCTTTATTAACTATAAAGTATATTTATGTTTCTATCTGTATTATTAATCCTTTGTGATATTTTCACAAAAATAAGTAATATTAAATAAAAATATGAGACTTATCATGAAGTTTGCAAAGTTGGTCATGCGTTTACTTTACTTTTAAAATATCTTTACAGGCTACGTTTTATTATAGAAATGCGAAACATTAAAAAAAAACTGATTTATTGGTGATATAATTTATTATTACTGATTATAATTAATTCTAAAATATCATCAGCAGAAGGTTATACTTTGTCAGGTACAATCCCACGTTTTATGTGGAAAAGTTATTGATACATAAAAACTTTATAACTGATTGTAGAGGAAAGAGAACGCAGCTCCTTGTTCAAGCCTTCAAACTGAAGTAAACCATTTTAGTGTTTGATCCAAACTGTCCTACTATTTTATCCAAAGAAAATGTGTCAAAATGATACACATGTTTAGGCTGATGGATCAATCAATCAATCCAATCAGTTTGTTTGTATGTACTTTGAATTTACTCATATATATATATATATATATATATATATGAGATGTAATAAATACAAATATATAAGGTGCATTTGATCTAATTCATGGAGCAGGAGTTATGAATATTTCTTATAAACTCTTGTCAAACCTTACCTTAGAATTCAGAAGATCCTCTCAGAGACAAAAAGAGCTGTCAGCGTTTGTGGAGCTGAATGATTGAGTGCTGCGCCCCAACACAACCTGTCCACGGTACCTTGAACTTTAGATCAGATGCTGTTGCTCAACAGTGTCACGTTGATTTGGGCCGAGCTCTGAAAAGATTGTGCCGGTTAATGATTGGCAGCTCTTAGAACCACAGTCCTCCTTTTTTAATATCTTTACTCGCGTCTTTTTTTACAGGTCACGGGGGTCACTGGTGTCCACGTCCAGCCATCACTGTGGGAGGGGCGTCCCAGACTGGTTGGGATTTGAGCTGGTGACCTGCTCGCTGAGAGGCGGCAGCTCTAACTGTGCCACCGTGCCGCCCCCTTTTAAATATGATTTTGCATTTCTTCTGCAAGTATTTTTTGTGAAATTAAAAAGTAGGAAATTGGGGTCCAAAGGGTAAAAAAACAAATTGTACAGACATTATTTGGTTTGTTCAGCTTTATTCAGGTCTCTCTTGTAAATGAGTCCCCGAGGATCAATGGGATTAAATTGTATAAATAAAGGTTGAGTGAATTATGACGTCACATCCATTCAAGACAAAACTTTTAATATATGGCTTCTTCATACTAATATTTCTAATAGAATTTGACATTTTAGGCATAATTTGGTTTTTATTTATGTTTTTCATCTCATTAATGAATTCAAAATTGCTTTGAATCATAATTTGATTTAGTCCCTCGTTCATCGCGGGGGATCATACCCTGAAGCCCCGCGATAAGTGAAAAACCGCCAAGTAGGAATAGTAGTACAAGTAGTAGTTTATTTTAGTGTTTATATATATATATATATAAATATAAAGGCGTTTTAAACCCTTCCCACACTCTTGCAATATTCTAAACAATGTTTCTAAACTCTTAAAGAGCACAGAATGTCATGATTTCAGCTCCCTGTGCCTCTGCTGCTCTCAAACGCTCCTGGCCACGCCCACTTCTCTGCTCTGTACGCAGATCAGCTGATCAGCTGCAGGAGGAAGTTCCTCCTGCAGCTGTGGGCTGCACAAATGTGCAGCAGGTGCCAAATTTAAAATGATTAATTTTAAATAAAAATTCCATGCCGATCGTGCGGCTCATCCATCAATCAGCCAATCGTGTGAAAATCTTATTTTGAAAAACCGCGATAAATGAACCGCGAAGTATGGGACGGCTGTATATTTATTTTACCTAAAAACCTTAAAGGTTTAATATATGCATTTTCACTTACAGCTATTAATATATCTTGTTTTAAGTTTTAAAAGCAGAAAATAATATGAAATTGATTACGATATAAATATCAAGCAATTTACTGGCAGTTGCAAGTTTCAGCAACTCCTGTGTGAAATTCCTTCAATCACAACAATTGTACTAATAAATGAATAATGCATTACTTGTTTAATAAAACTGCAAACTAAATGTCAATAAAAAGAATCATTGTTAATAATTTTCTTTACTGTTTCATTTTGAATGAACTGAAACCACGTTTTTCTGTTTGAATCATTTATTAAAAACAAAGCATACAAAATGTCTCAATGCCACAATCATTGTCGCAAATGTTCAGTAAGCACTTTTTATTTCCAACAAAGTTCCAGATAAGGAACATTCAAATAACTTAAGGAACACTTTGGCCAACAACTTGAGGCTCACACAAACTTTCACTCACTGGGTCACAGGTGAGCGCCTATAATATAAATATATCTGTATTGCACACGTTTATTAGAAGATTTATGTAAAAAAACACTATTCTGCTCCTTGATATTGTTTATTTGTGGATAATTTTCTCTGCAGACATGATTACAGGATGACAAAACTTTTCTGTTGTCTTGTGATGCATGGTGGAAGTCTCTGTACTCAAGTGAGGGAAGATGGAGCAAAATCTGAAACAATTTTGAGGATATCGGAGGTTTTAATGGCCGCTCAGCAGCCGTTTCTCCTCCTTGGCTCCATCCAGGCTGCCTCCGACGCTGTGGTTGCTCTCGAGCTCGATGTTCATCTTGTTCTGCCTCAGTGCCTCTTCTGTCGTTGGCCACCTGGGACCAGACAGGCCGGCTGGGTTTTCTGACGAGGTGATTCTGTGAGCGCGACGCCTGGAGCCGCACCGCACCCTGCTGCAGAGCAGGTAGAACATCTCGATAACGTTGAGGAGCAGAGAGATGCAGGCCACCACCAGCATGAAGATGATGAAGATGGTTTTCTCTGTGGGCCGGGACATGTAGCACTCCACGGTGAAGGGACAGGGCTTCTTGGAGCAGGGGAACATAGGAACCATGATGAAACCATACAGGTAGTACTGTCCCACAATGAACCCAGCCTCAATAAAGATCTTGAAGACCAGCTGGGTCAGGTAGCTCCCCAGCAGGTTCCCCTTGATCTTCACGTGTCCCTTTTCGTCGCTGTATTTGGGCTCTTTGAGCTTCCTCGGCCCACCAGGGCTCGACAACAGCTCCCTCAGCTTGTTCTCCTTGTGGATGATGTGCATGGCGTGGCCCAGGTAGATCAGCGTCGGCGTGGACACGAAGATGATCTGCAGCACCCAGAAGCGAATGTGGGAGATGGGGAAGGTCCAGTCGTAGCAGACGTTCTCACAACCGGGCTGCTGGGTGTTACAGATGAACCCGGACTGCTCGTCGCCCCAGACGCTCTCAGCACCGGCTCCCAAAACCATGATCCGGAACAGGAAGAGGACGCTCATCCAGATCTTCCCGATCACCGTGGAGTGAGACTGGACTTTTTCCAGCAGTGATGACAAAAAGCCCCATTCTCCCATCGTTACCGGCGACGTTCAGGGTTTAATCTGTGACACAAAGAAGGGAAACGGCGTAAGGAGGTGATCAATTAGACAAACTCTTCGTTTTGACCCTAAAATGCACCTTTCAGCAGAATTATTAACCACGTTTGATCTAATCAATGCAGCGAGGCAGGAAGGAAAGGACTCACTGTTTAATTAATGTTTTCTCTTCTTAAAGTTGGCAAAAAGGAAGAAGTCCACTGAACTTTGAGCTTTTTGGTCAATATTTTTCTTTAAATAATCATTAATAAAACAAAGAAAATTAGACCGAAGCTATGTGCGGTCGCTCAAGAGGTACGTAGGGATAAAGTCTGCCACAAACATAAAACTAATAATTAAAAAATAATAATTTGTGACTAAATTACACCATAAACATTAGATTTGAACACAGTTTAAATAGTCTTTTAAACACAACAAACATTCAAAATATGACTTATTGGAAAAACCGAGCAATATAACGACCTAATAATGTATCTAATTTACATAATTCCTCCCTATAATTTGGCGACTTTAAAAAAGATTTTAACTATTTGTTTAAACGATGCACACACACATTATGCATAAAACTAACCGCAAATATTCCAAACATCCGCTCAGGTTATAGAAGTCACCAGAACAAGACCGTACCCATGTTTAGGTTGTAAATTGATCAGCAGAGAGGAGAATTAGTGGCATCTTACCTGCTCACCTGATCCAAACAGACTGTCTCTGGACGGGACAGATCACTAACTATAGTTGGACCTTGGAGTTTTGTCCCGGGTGAGGACACCAGGACCAGTGCGGGATGAAATTGCGCAACACACATCTGGCTTTAATGTCACGTTGTAACCGTCAGCACACCGAGGCAGAAAAGACGTGACCAGGAGGACGAGTGTAATGATTGACCGCCCAGATTTGTGTCTGCTGCAGATCTCAGGGTTTGAAAATAAACAGGTGCTGCAGTTTGATGTTATTTTGATTATTTGTTCTATTAGAGGAGCACTGATGTGTTTTAGGTACATTTATGTATTAAAATTAGTACTTTAAAATAGCAGAGGCGTGAAATTTATTGTGAAAGGAGCACAGATAATCTTAATATAATTTGATGTGACTCACCTGCTTCATCACGTCCACTGATTCAAACGTAACCTTTTTTGGAAGACTTTTGATTTCACAACACGAGTTGAACGTTTGTTAGTCAGCTTCAATCAGTTTATTCTATAAGTGATGATTAGGTTTATGATTCCATGTAATTTTTTTTTTTCATTCAACCTTTACTTTTACAGGTTAGTCTCGTTGAGTCACGAGGACTCATTTACAAGAGAGATCTGTTTTAGACCGATTACAGATAAGGTACAGACAAGAATAAAATGCATATAAAATAAAAGTAGTGATATAAAACAAAAATAAAATCAAGCTACATTACAAAACAAGAGAAAATACTAAAAACAGGAACATGTCTGCATTGATTTTTCCGTTGAGCTTAACAGTTGTTTAAAATCCCTTAGAGAGGTCAGAGTTGAGAGCTTCAGATCTTTCTGTAAAGTGTTCCAGGTTACAGGAGCGGAGTAAGACGAGGCCTTTATGCCGAGTTCAGTCTGCACTCAGGGTACACTGCAGGTAATGATGTCTTGAGAGTGCACGCTGTAACTGATGACGTGACATGTAGGAGGAGATATATGAAGGCAGCAGACCCAGGAGTGACTTAAAGATGAAAATAAACCAGTGTGAGAGCGTCCAGACCATGACCAACTGACCAATGAGTACAGGGCGCAGTGATGGGTACGGTAGTTACAACCAGTTATGAATCTTAGCGCGCCGTGATAGACAGCATCCAACATCTGCAAGGTGCTGGCAGGGGCATTCATGTAAATAATGTCACCATAGTCAATGGTCGGTAGGAAAGTAGCGGTTACAAGATGTTTTCTGCATTCAGAGTTAAACAAGATCTATTTCTGAAAAAGAAACCCAGTTTTAATTTCAGTTTCTTTATCAAGTTTTTGTGAGGCTTAAAAGGGAGACGTTCATCGACCAACATTCCCAAGTATTTGTAAGAATCCACAAATTCAATAGGAACATTATTCGTATAAAAGATAGAAGGAAGAACTGCTGGGACCGACTTCCTGTTTGAAAACAACGTCCCTTTAGTTTTGTCAGCTTTTAGCACCAGTTCGAGACGGAACAAATCTGACTGGATGATGTTGAGACTATAAAAACTGTAAAACATTAGCAACTGTTTTAGCTCGACAATAAACAACTGTATCGTCGGCCTAGAATGTAAGGATGCATCAGGAATGTTCTGACCTACATTACTTATGCAGATTGTAAAGAGAGTGGGCCCCAAGACTGAGCCTTGTGGTACCCCATTATTGTATACTGCATTTATGTAAGGGCTCCTTCAACTACTCAGAATTATCTTTTTGCAAGAAAGCAAAAACCTTAAAGTACTTGTTTTGAACACTTTTCTCTCTCATTCTCATGTCAAGCAAAGTTATGAACGTAGAACAGAACTTTTACTGTTTGCACAATAAATTAAAAAAAAGAGTTAGATTTACATTTTCTTAGTAATAGTTACTTAAACTTTCAGTTAAAAGTATTTTTTAACTGAAGGAAAACTACATATCTGGGTGCAGACAAAATGAAAATTTTGTCTAATTTTAGTCATAAAAATCTGCAGTTTCATGAAAGAATAAATAAACTGTACAATAAAGAAATACAGCAGTAAAAACTATGAAATTTATTTAAAAAACTTGGTTTTACAAGATAAAAAAATGTACAAAATCTACACAAATGGTTTATCTAATTTATTATATCTGACAAAATGATTAGTTTATTTATTTAAGAGAACTACAAACACAAATTTTGTTGTATTTAGGTGCAATAAAGGTCTATTCTATTCTATTCTATTCTATTCTATTCTATTCTATTCAAAAGTCACTTGCTTTAGTTCTGAGCAGCAGTTTTCATGAGACTCTGTGTTGCTTACTGAAGCTGGTCACCCCCCCCCCCCCCCCCCTCCACCCGACAGAGCAAACAAACACCTGAACTACTGAGACACCACCTGTAACTGAGGTGGTGTCTCAGATGTGGATCTCCCCCATGTTGCTCTCGGAGCTCACAGTTTTAGCCCCCTCTCCCCCTTTGATCCCGTTCATCCCCAACTTCCGTCCCTGCAGCTCCAAATCCCGGTTGACGTAATTCTGGATCATCTCGTCCTGGTTCCTAATGTCCTTCTTCTCAGAAACGGGAGGTGTCACGGGGGTCACCGTGTAGTCCTGCCTCCTCGCCACGCACTCTTTAACCGCTTTCACGCACAGGTAGAGCAGCTCGGCGACGCTGAGGGCGAGCGAGACGACGGCGGCCACCAGCATGAACCAGATGATGACCGACTTCTCAGTGGGTCTGGACAGGAAGCAGTCCACCTTGTGGGGACAGGGGAAGCGGGTGCACACGTAGCGAGGTTCGAGGGTGAAACCGTAAAGAAAGTACTGACCAGCGATGAACAGAACCTCCAGAATGATCTTGGCCAAAAGATGCAGGACATAACTGCGGAGGAGGCTGCCACGGAGGTTGATCTTGCCACTGCTTTTGGTGTACTTTGGAATTTTGAAAGTTCTCCTGAGGAAGAGACTGGCCTGGTCATCCAGCTCAGCCTGGTTCTTCATCCTCTCCATCATCTGGTTTTCAAAGAACAGTGATCAGTCAGACACTAAAAGGTTAAAAAAAATACAAGTTTTAGGCACCAAGGTAACAGAAAACGATAAGAGCATCTTAAATGTTGACTCACACAGTTTGAAACATTTTTAACAAATGGTGTCTTTGTCTATGTTACAACTAGGGGTTGGATAGACTAGTCGACTAGTCAATTCTAGGACATCTCGTGAGTTTTTATATTTCACGCCAACCAGTGCCCGCCCCACTGTTCCCAGCACCCAGTGGTTTAGTCTATGTGATACTCAGGTATATGGAGTATACCCACTAGAAAAGCTTAAGAATTTCAGTATACCCACTTAAAAGAGCCCAATGATGCATGCATGACATATACAAAGTAATTGGGCACGTGTCATTGATACATTAAATGGCAGTTAAACGCTTCCATAACAATGTATTGGTATGCAGCGCTTGTTCATTACATTCACTTATCCAGCTAATTATTGTATAATTAATACATCTGTACTTAGTACTTAATGCTTGAACATGTTTTGCTTCGATACTGTTTGATAAATCCTATAACATGTTTTTCATACAAAGCCAGCTGTTGTACAAAGTTCATTTATTCAAATGTAAGCGTCAGAGAAATTTGGAAATGTTCAATATGCTTAAAAAAAAAAGACATTTACATTGTACTAATAAGTGTACTTTGGTTTCTAAGCACAGTACACGGACCGACCACGGTAAAGTTAGTTTCATGTTGGACGTTGGACATTGACGCTTCGTGGCTTCAGCGGTGTCCACCGTTCAACGTAAAACTAACTTTACTGCAGTATATCTATGGAGACTACACCACGGATTCCACCCAGTCCATGGTGGTGGATGAAATAAAATAAAACTAAAAACAGCGGGGCAGGTGGTGGACTCCATCATCCCCCGCCCCGCTGTTCTTAGCCTTGGTTTTTTTTAAGTACCGCACGTTTCTTTCACTTTTGCAGCTTAATTTTAGTTTTGGTTTTCCTGTGACTTATTTGCAGTATGATAAATGGTAGGAGTATAAAAATATGCCTGATGTTTTGTTGTTCTTTTCTTTTTTTGTAAATAATAAATTACGTTTTTTTTTTGCTTTTTAATTTATTTTTTGTGAATACAATATAGTGTCTTGAGTTCCTATGACGTCATCGACTAGTCAACTTTTATCATGTTAAAGTCGACTTGAAAAAATATGCAGTCGTTCATCTCCTAGTTACAACCACAATCTGTAAAAAAAAAAAAAAGTTCAGGAGGCACAAAAATGTATTTGTTTGTTTTTTTTAACTGCAAGTTTAATTTGGAAGCATTTTAGAAAGTTATGTCTACACTTTGCTTAAAATATTTGCTTCAACCCGAGTCTATAATGCACATGAACAGCTGATAAGCCTTATAACAACTGTTTCTAACCAAAAATACATAAAAAAGACAAAAGTTTGTGTAAGTATTGCTGCAAAGCTGTATATATTTACTGAACTTTGGCAACCATGATGGTCATGGATGGAGGAATAAAAACCAGAAACACTAACATCCACGTGTTTCAAAGTCAAGGCCCAGGGGCCAAATACAGCCCTTGTTAGCATCTTATCTGGCCCCCCAAGATGATTTTTTTAAAGTAAAATATTTGTATTGCTTTTCGTTTTACTCAAAAGCTGAGCATGTATTCGTTTGCGCAGACTTGGCAACTTTGAAGCCCAAAAAAATTTAATTTTTTCCACAATCTTTTATTTTATGCGCCGAATGTGGCGGAGAATGTCAAATGAGACCGATGATCTGAGGAACCTGCAACCAAGAAAAGAAGTCAGATATCTGACTGGAGTTAACATGTTGACTGAATTCTGCTCTTGGTTTGAATTTTTTTTTAATTTTTGATCCACTTTTGTGAGTTTGACACCCCAGAGTGTATTAAAGGAACATTTAGCCCTTTCCATCCTACAGTATTTTCTGTATGGGTCTGAACGTACAGCTTCTGCAGCAACACCGACCTTCTTCTCGATGTGGACCACATGAAGAACATGACCCAGGTACAGCAGCTTCGGGGTTGCCAAGGCGATGATCTGAAGAACCCAGAAGCGGACGTGAGAGATGGGGAAGGCGAGGTCGTAGCAGACGTTCTCACAGCCGGGCTGCTGAGTGTTGCAGACGAAGTCAGACTGCTCATCGCCCCACACCTGGATCACAGGGACAGATTCAACTCCACGTCCTTTTCACCACTCACACTTTGAATCCAGACACCGGCTGAGCTGACCTTCTCTGCGCCGGTTTGCAGGACCATGATCCGAAAGATGAACAGAACAGTGAGCCAGATCTTTCCAATCACCGTGGAGTGGCTCTGCACTTTTTCCAGCAGCCGGCCCAGCAGGTCCCAGTCCCCCATGGCACTCACCAGCTGACTGTTTTTAAAATAAGAAGTTAATTATTAAAACATACAAGAAGGTGCATTCTCATAGCATTTATCAATCTAGAGTTAAATAGCGCGCAGGGATGATTTAGTTGTTGTAATAAGAACATTAATTTAAAAACATTATATTTTATTTCACAGAGCTGAAACCTGGTTTGTGCTGCTGTGTCAGTTTTAAATAAAAAAAAAGAGTCTGAACAGACTCTTTCACACACAAGGCCAAACTTTTATCATTTTACGCTGCAGATAAAAGCCACAGCTGCTCCTGAACACATGGACCCGAAGGGCACGGAAAGCTTTAACCATTTGGCTTTTAAACATCAAATTAATCAGTTTTTTGTTGTTTTGTTTATAGAGAACATCTGATCATGCATGGCTTTAAAATTTTTACTTTTAAAGCTCACAAACGTTTAAACTCAACTCACAAAAGTTCATATTAACACGATAGCACGAATAAATCTTCATTTACGGACCCGACGGTCCAGACATGAATCAGACGGTTATAAACGTCATTTACCTTTTTGTAAAAAGTTTAAACCAGCTAAAAATGTAATGTTTACTCACCAGTTGAACAAACTGGACAAATGGAGGAAAGCTGGGATAAACTGGGAGCGATGCGTTCAGTGAGTGATGAAGAGAGAGAGTGAAGACGAAGCTGCTTCATTGTTCAACTTATCTGGAAGGACACCGTCCTAACCACAACAAGCGTCCGGTGAAAGCAAAAACCGAGCACAAGCTGAATTAAACACACGGCTTAGACTAAATTTAAGTGACTGATTCATTAAATTAAGTTTCTGCAGCAAATGTTGAAAGAAAAAAAAAACAAATTTAAATGTTTCTGAACATGTTTCTGTTTTTGGGGTTTGAACTTGCTGTGAGACACAAATATGACTCTTGAAAGAGAAATTCTTCTTTTAAAAAAAAAAAGAAAAACAACAGAATGTGACTTTTAGTTTGACTTTTCAGAGCGCAGGAGGTCGAAGTGAAAGGCCGAGAAGCAGCAGGAAAAGCTCAAGAAATACCAAAAAAAGAGGAAATGGAGAAAGCCACTCGGTGCCTGACACCAAACCTGAAGAGCGGCTCCAACAGATCCAGGAGCCACTTCAGAGATCTCAGTCCAGAAGAGCAGAGTCTGAGGAAAGGCTACTGAGCAGAACCCTCAGGCTCGCCGGCCTCTGGTGGACCCGAGTTTGATGCAAGACGTGGAAGAGCGAGTGGAGCACGTTTTACATAATGCAATAAAGTTAAAAATATGTCTAAAACAAAACCGCTCGAATAAAAATCGCCTCTAATCATTTAAAACTTCCCAACTACACGATTATATCTAACAGCAGGGGCGGTTCTAGGATCTGACCTTTAGGGGTGCTTAGCCCCCAGTACTGACAATGGCTCCTGGCTTGAACAACACACCCCACGGTGATGTTCATGAGAAGTGCAAAAGCTTACAGCACCTGGTGGTCTCCCATCCAGGTTAACCCCGCTTAGCTTCCGAGGTCAGGCATGTTCAGGGTGGTATGGCCGTAAACGAGGAGCTCAGTCACAAACAGGACTTTTAAAGGATCATAACAAACTAGGACTAAACTTATGCAGCCAGAAGTTACAACATACACAAAACAAAACACAACTAGCTTTAACCTCCTAGGACCTGGCATACACATATGCAAGAGTTCGGGTCTTAGGAGGTTAAGCACGAACCTTTAATTTAACCATTAACCTCTGTCTGCAAAGCGTTTTTAATGCAAAACCCCAACAATGTAGTCGGAGGAAAAAGGGGTGGAGCTCCTGCAGGTAAGGGGCGTTTACCTTTGGGACAAATTAAGATTGCTGATTGGTCAGTTGCTGACAAGCCTGCTGGATTGACAGGTAGGATAGCGCCAAAGAACATCAGATTTTAGTGGTTCATTCAAGTGTCATCATTTATTCCATATTTATTAAATATTTCGGTGACTCTAAGGTTTGAGAACTGTTTTCTTACAAAATCCTAACGATGGTTTCTTAATTTTTCATGTGCGCTGTTAAAATTTCAGGGTGCTTGAGCACCACTGTCTAACATACCATTTTATTTAAAACTATTTTTTAAATTCCCTAAAAACCTTGGTGATTATAACTCCTCTAATATCTTTAAATTTCTAATTTTCCTGCATAAAAAATGGTTTTGCTCTTTCTAAGCGTATTATATATTTAACTGTGCTGTATGTAAAAAAAAAAAAAACAGTTTATTTTAATGCTTTTCAGTTTTGCTAACATTATTTGATGTAAAATATTTCCATTTTTATAAAACTTCACATACAAACACATTTTAGTTATTTCCTTGTAACGTTTGACACGGTGTATGTGGATGATAACAGACTGTGGATTTGTTTAAATTAAATGTAAGCAGTAAGTGCGGGTGCATGCTCGATAATCCAGGTAGATAAATCTAACGAGGAAGAAGAACCCGTCCAGAGGACCTGACTCCACAGCAGAAAGGTTTCTCTTGGCACATTGTGTTTATTTACGCTTCACTTTGTGTTTCTGAGGTTCACAACCTCTGACACGCTTCTGAAGTTGCAGGATGAACTCTGGTGTAAATGATTGACACGCAGCTGTTGGTTTGAGGACAAGCAAAGTCTGATGGTTCTGCAACAAATTGATTCGACCGATCAGGTCCTGCAACGAAAACAGTCGACAAAAAGACGGACTTCAAGGACGTGGGAGTGAAAGAAGTTTTATTGCTCTAACATCACACTTTATATTTTCACTACAGTAACTTACGTCATTTTGCCACAAAAGCTACAAATATCAAAAGCATAACATCTCAGCTAAATAAAACCACTACAAACATAATTTCACGTCTCCCAAAGCTTCACTTTTCATCGTCACATAAATGCTGTTTTTTAATAACTCTCTTTGATTACACACGTCAGACAGATAAGCTGAAGACACAATAACACCAGAACAGACACTTTGTAAGAAACACCTGCAAAAATACACTGAAAGGTACTCAATGCAGTCACCAAGACTGGAAAAAATAAGCAAGTAAATCAAGCAAGAAACATAATCTGCACATTATTTTTCCAATGAATGATTAATGTGGTGTTAAAATAACAATTTGTAAGTTTGTAAGCAGAACTTGTGAATGGCTGGAAACGCCCACGTGTGTTTTAATAACCTTCAGAAACAGACGAACCGACTGAAAATAGGTGAACAGTGGGAACGTCTGTGAAAGGATGAGATGGAGAAGTCCAGTTTTCATGCATTGGTCCTGTTTTCACAGATTCGTTAAGTACGCAGACAAAAGTGTTTTGTTTACGTGGAGTGTGGACCACACATTTCAGAGTTACACGTGAAAATATGTAGAAAACTACCGGAGTAAAGTCTTCCAAACTGCATCAGTTGATATTCTGTATTTTCCTGTGTAGAAGTTGCATCAGTAAAAAAAAAAATAGCATCACGAAGAGGAAAAAAACATGTGTCACCCATCCATCCATCCATCCATCCGTCCATCCATCCATCCATCCATCCATCGCAGCCAGAGCCGCTAGCTCTCCAGCGTTCCTCTGCTTGCATCGGCTGAGTGAAGTGAGCGTGCCCAGAACTCGATGTTGCAGTTCTTAGAAATTTAAAATGTCAGTCAAAAATTGTTATAAATATGAAAAAAAAAAAAAAAAACGTATACAAGTTGCTTCAGCGTATAAGTTGCAGGAGCACAGAAGTCTGTTGGAGTCAGCCTCCCCATCACGGACATCTACACCTCCAGATGCAGGAAGAGGGCCACCTGCATCATGAAGGACCCCACTCATCCAGCACACACACTTTTTGCCTGCTCCCCTCAGGAAGGAGGGTGAGGAGCATTAAGTGCAGAACCACTAGACTGAGGAACAGCTTCTACCTTGAGGCTGTTAGACTCATGAATCCCTAGTTAGGATGATCACTGTGAAAAAAATCACTGTAATTCCACTTGGTTGTTGATATGTGCTGCTGATTATCCATGATTCTGACCTCATACCGCTGATTATTTCATGTTGCTGTGTTCATTCGTCCTCATCTGCTCAGACTCGTGTTCGTGCTGCTGCTGTTCGGCGTATTGTTTTGTACTATTAGTGCTTAGTGTATTAGTTTAGTGTAGTCTTAGTTCATGTCGTGGATCTTACCGTTCCACTTTACAATTTGTATTTTCGTTGGATGTAACTGGGACCCTTGGTACATAGTTTTGTTCCACCTCATGTATCACATGTGATGTGAATGACAATAAAGAACCTTGAATCCTATACAAAAAACGGCGACTTATACACGGGAAAATACGGTAGTTGAGAACTTCTTTATGTTTAATTTCATTGTTTGCATTGAGCACCTTTAAGACCATCTTACATAAAACAGCTCTATCACATTACTGCACTACGCATCTGTAATACATTTTTAACGTTTTATGGCCGCAGAACACTTTGGTGGTTTATTTAAACACAGGTTTTCTTCTACGCTGTTTAGTCCTTTTTTGAATCACTCAGCTTCACCACAGTTGGAACATTAATTGAGACATGCGGTTTTGATGCGTGACGATCTCCATGTAACAGATGGAAGAAAAAAAAAAACAGACTTTTGAGCTCCTAACTGGCACTGATGAGCATCCGCGATCCGAGAATCCAAATCCACTCTGGAATACACCTCATCAGGCCATACTGTGAAGAAGAAAATATTATTTTTATGCTTCAGATTTGGTTTTCCGAAATAAGACGGAACAACTATAAACAACACAGTTGACCACAAATCTTCTTGTTGAGGACTAAAGGCACAGATTTGAATGTGTACCAACCTGCAGAGTATGAGGCCAGTACCCGGTGGTTCTGTTGGAGACCCCCAGTGTGGAGATGGCATGGCGAGCATAAACCTCCGGCCTTGGAACAAACCAACCATCCTTCGGTGATGATGATGGTTGCAACCTGCCTGAAGCTATCTGGAGTAGCATACATGAGGAGAATGTGACTTCACTCATCTAATAACACGTTTAAAAAATAAAAAATAAAATCAGTTTTATTTCAGGGATTAATTAATAGCATACAAGATGAACGTAAATAAAATTATTCTGGTAGTATTTTAAATTTGGGCTGTGTAATCGCAGCAACAGTTCTTGACTTCTTCATGGATAAAATTGTCAAAACTTGGAAAAATTTCTTCAAAAAAATCACCGCTGATTAATCAGAAAAAGACAACAAGAAAACAAATTTATCAAGGCTCAACCTGAAAACTCTCAGCCCTTTCCGGCACCAGAATCAGAACAAAAGTCAAATATTTAGTAAAAGTTCGATTACCTGGAAAGGAATCAGACTTTGAACAAAGATCCCTTTGTCCCTGTACTCAAGGTGAAGAGCTCTTGAGAAATGATCCAAGTACCCCTGAAAAGTTGAAAAAATTGCATTGATATGTTTATTTGTGAATATAATCACTGGAAAAAAACGAGCAATGGATGATAAAATTTCGTTTAACTTGATTGTAAAGGAAAAAACCCATAAGTTCTACTTGAAATGCACTTGGTAAAGTGATTCCCTTTCCTTGCTTTGACTAACGAAGATCAATGTTCTCCTTTTTTTAGCGAAACGCCTGCTGTGAAAGGCAGTTAAAGAAGGTGTAGGTCTTACGGTGAATGCTGTGAGTGCCACTCTTCCACGCAGGGGTCTACAGCAGGCCCCTGACGATATATTGACCACAGCCCCTCTGCAGCGCTCTACCATCCCCGGCAGAACCAGTCGGGTCACCAGAGTAGCAACCACAATGTTCTTATTCACTTGATCCAACAGGTCGTGTTCAGGCGTATCAATCAGACTGCGAGGGAAAGCCGTTGTATCTTGCACACAGTTTACCAGGAAGCCGATATCTTTACCCCTCAAAGCGTCTTTGATGGGTTTGCTCGCCGCTCGGCCCAGAGAGAAGTCTGTCAGAACGACAAGCGTTTCCACCCCATAGGTTTGAGAGAGGGACGCAGCTGCATCCCTAATGACGGTGTCGTCCTGAGTGATGAAGATGATATTAATGCCGTGTCTGGTCAGCTCCTCAGCATACGCGCTGGCTACAGGCTCAGATGCACCTGACAGGAGAAAATAAAAAGATCTCTGTTAAATAACAATTAGTACTAACAGATTGAAAAAACACCATCAACAAGCCGCTAAACACATGTACACAAAATGTATTATCGCCAGCTGCAGAAAAACTAAAGCAGACAATGTTGTTTGTTTTCATGTGTCAGCAAAATATCTCATGAACTACTGGACAAACTTTAATGAAACTTGCAGAAGTTAGTTATCGGATGCAAAATTACAATTAACTTTTGGAGTAAATCCAAGATGGCCACAGCAGCCAGATGAAACACACAAATTGTAAATATACATTCATATTTACAGAAATTGAGTTAAAATTGAATGTGATAGTAGCTGAGAGTCATTAACACAAACACTAATTGTGACGCCTCATAATGAGGTTATTGAGATTGTTTCAAAGTTTGACCAAAATGGCTACTACTGTCCTCAATAAAAGATTTTAATTATAAAATAAATACTGGTAGCTATAAGAATGACTGAAAGCCCAACAAAGTTCAGTCAGGTCCTCTGGACGGTTTCTTTTTTTTTTGTTGAAACAGTTTGTCTTTCATCCAAAGGACTTCATCAGTCCGAGGAGCCACACCAAACTCAGTCCCATAGGTAGAACACTCACATAGTGGGCCAATCACCATGGTGACCATATCACCATAAGATGGTTTTTGGAGTCTGCCCTCTCCCCTGTCGACTCCTCTGAGGTACCAAAGTGGTTCAAAACGTCTAAGTTCATGCTCAATAATCCAGGTAAAAAAATCCAACAAAGTTAAGTCAGGTCCTCTGGACATTTTCTTTTTTGTTGAGACGTTTCGTCCTTCATCCAAAGGACTTCATCAGTCTGAGGAGCCAAAACAAACTCAGTCCCATAAGTGGCCCACTCACAAAAAAAAGAAACCGTCCAGAGGACCTGACTTAACTTTGTTGGATTATTTTACCTGGATTATTGAGCATCAACTTTAATGTCTGAAAACATTCAACGTTGATACATTTTCTAATTCCAGGTTACTAAATGTTGATAAACAAATGACAGGAAACAATAAGATTAATTTAATAAAGTTTAGTTGGACAAAGCAAGAAATTAGAGGCCTTTTTTGTTGTTGTTTGAATCAATTTGACATTTTAACTTGTTCATTGTGGAATTAATTGTGATAATACGGTTTTCAAAACTACTATTCGTGCTAGTTTTCCTGTACTTTTCACGAAACATCATCAAGAAGCGTGAGGTATCTGGGACGCTGCAGTTTATAACCTTGTCCTGAGCTTGGCTCTTCCTCACGAGGGAGTTTTTCCTTTCCACTGTCGCCTTCGTGCTTGCTCAAGATGAGAGTTCTGTGATGGAGTTAAACTCAAAGCAGCCTGCTCCTCAGATAATTAATATTATTAACTTACTTTATATATATGAATGTTTCTGTAGTGACTTGGCGCTATATAAATAAAACTGAGCTGAATTGGGAAAAAAAAAAAAAACTGGTCTCACCATAAATTACAGCCCAGTCACCATATCTTTGGGTCAGCTTCCTGCTCGGGATCATTCTCGGCAGGAAATGGACCCTAACCAAAGTGCAGCAGTCATTCAGCAAGATTACTGCCTTCCTGGCCGCATACAGAGCTCCCACCAGAGCCAGGGTCTCAAAGTAAGAGCTGCACGACCGAGAAATTTCTCGGTACAAAAAGGGGAAACTGTCTACCGCCGCCATGCTGGTGTTCGCCACTACTCCGATCTCTTGTTTGTCATTTAAAATTCACCAAAAAAAGATGCTGAACTGTAGTAATAAAAACAATAACAAGCAAACCAAGCGTGAGAGTAAAAACGCAAGAAATTACTGATAAAACTTTTTTTTTTCAAACGTTTTACGGATTAGAAACGACTACTGTTCACTACCTGGTAGAGAAACAAAACATTGGGTCACGTGACAAAACGCGTCACGGATGCTGCTTTCAAAGTTCATCGAGAAGATCCGTCAGAATGCGTCCAAATCAACAATAACGAAGAATAGTTTCAAATAATAAGTTAGTTTTAGGTGATTATATGTTTAATAATTAACATATTTTCTAATTATTAGTCTAAATATGTCATATTAGGTGATAAGTTACTCCTATTTTGTATTTATACATTTACAAAATAAATGTTCCAGTTACGACTGTACTGTGAACACACCACAAACTAGTCGTTTCCATGGAGACACGGTCGTTGGGAATTGCTATCAGCGGAACGCTACAAGGATTAAATCCTTTAGCAGCGCAAAAACATGTAAAGTTGTTGTATTCCTCATCCGGTGCCTTTCTGTTAAGTTTAATGCCTTGTTCCGCGCGAATGCTTTTTGGTTTCTTAGCTGTTATTCCAGCTAAACTCGTCTCATTTCGCCTTAGCTTCGGCTAGCTGCGTTTTTAGCCAGTGGCAGCATTTTTAGCTGGGCTAAGAAGGAGCTAATTTTGAGGCTTCAGCAGAGTTTGTTGATTTGTGCTGACCCTTTTAGATGTTTAATTTTATTGTTTTGGAAAAAAGCAGGCAATTGTGACCGTTTAATTACCGAGGAAGCTTGTTTAGTCTTACCTGTTGCGGATGAATTGATGGGGAGAAACTGCAGGGTGAAGGGGTTCTTTCCTGGTAAACTATGATTACATTTGTTTGATCAGTTCTGCAAATCTGCTTAAATAACATTTATTCATCTAGTCTCTGATGTTCAGTGGGTGAAATATTAAATCAGAATTTGGTAGAATATGGGCTTCCTAGCTTTGTCTCACTGCTTGAGCCTTATTCAACACAAAATAAATTCACAGATAAATGCAATTTATCTATAATTTACTGGCGTTCAAAATTAAATACTCTGTAATTTATGTTCCTGATGTAGAGGCATCAAAACTGACAGGCATGATACAGGTCTGTACTTACCTGGTTTTGTACCTGATACATACTTTGTAAGTACAGTACCTGGTTACTGCCAGGTTTGTATCTGGTATGTAATGGGCAAGTAAATGTATCCAGTATGTGCCTGATATTTACCTGGTAACTTCAGATAAATACTGGGCACACACCTCAGACATTTGCCCTGCTAGTACCGTAAATAACGTGTTAAAATATTTATTTTACATTTATGATGAAAAGTGTATAAAGTTTATTCTTTTGTATTTTATTCCCATTACCTAACGATAACGTCTCGGGGGAGGGAAAGCGGTACACCACCAACACTGTTTATAGTAGGGGTGGTGGGCTGCTGACCTCAACTCGGGATGTTGTGGGTCGGTGGGCGGAATACTTTGAAGACCTCCTCAATCCCACCGGCACATCTTCCAATGAGAAAGCGGAGCCTGGGGACTCTGGGTCGGGCCCTCCAATCTCTGGTGCTGAGGTCACCGAGGTGGTTAAAAAGCTCCTCGGTGGCAGGGCCCCGGGGGTGGATGAGATTCGCCTGGAGTTCCTTAAGGCTCTGGATGTTGTAGGGTTGTGTTGGCTTACGCGACTCTGCAATATTGCGTGGACATCGGGGGAAGTTACCCTGGATTGGCAGACCGGGGTGGTGGTCCCCCTATTCAAAAAGGGGGACCGTAGAGTGTGTTCCAACTACAGGGGGATCACGCTCTTAAGCCTCCCTGGTAAGGTCTATTCGGGGGTTCTGGAGAGGAGTGTCCATCGGATAGTCGAACCTCGGATTCAGGAGGAGCAGTGCAGTTTTCGTCCTGGTCGTGGAACAATGGACCAGCTCTACACTCTCAGCAGGGTCCTGGAGGGTGCCTGGGAGTTTGCCCAAACGGTCTACATGTGCTTTGTGGACTTGGAGAAGACGTTCGACCGCGTCCCTCGGGGCACCCTGTGGGGGGTACTCTGGGAGTATGGGGTACCGGGCCCTTTGATACGGGCTGTTAGGTCCCTGTATGACCGGTGTCAGAGCCTGGTCCGCATTGCCAGCAGTAAGTCGGGCTTGTTCCTGGTGAGAGTTGGATTCTGCCAAGGTCGCCCTTTGTCACCGATCCTGTTCATAACTTTTATGGACAGAATTTCTAGGTGCAGCCAAGATGTTGAGGGGATCTGTTTTGGTGGACTTAGGATTGCGTCTCTGCTTTTTGCAGATGATGTGGTCTTATTGGCTTCATCAGATCTTGATCTACAGCTTTCGCTGGAGTGGTTTGCAGCCGAGTGCGACATGGCTAGGATGAAGATCCGTTCCTCCAAGTCCGAGGCCATGGTCTTGAGCCGGAAAAGGGTAGAGTGCTCTCTCTGGGTCAGGGAGGAGGTCCTGCCCCAAGTGGAGGATTTCAAGTATCTTGGGGTCTTGTTCACGAATGAGGGAAAAATGGAACGTGAGATCGATAGGTGGATAGGTGCAGCGTCTGCAGTGAAGCAGGCGCTGTACAGGTCTATCATGGTGAAGAGAGAGCTGAGTCAAAAGGCGAAGCTCTCAATTTACCGATCGATCTACGTTCCTACCCTCATCTATGGTCACGAGCTTTGGGTTGTGACCGAAAGAACGAGATCTCGGATACAAGCGGCCGAAATGAGTTTTCTCCGCAGGGTGTCTGGGCTCTCCCATAGAGATAGGGTGAGAAGCTCGATCATCCGGAAGAGACTCAGAGTAGAGCCGCTGCTTCTCCACGTCGAGAGGAGCCAGTTGAGGTGGCTCGGGCATCTGTTTAGGATGCCTCCTGTACGCCTCCCTGGTGAGGTGTTCTGGACACGTCCCACCGGGAGGAGACCCAGAGGAAGACCCAGGACACGCTGGAGGGACTGTGTTTATCAGCTGGCCTGAGAACGCCTCGGGATTCCCCCGGAGGAGCTGGACCAAGTGGCTGGAGAATGGGAAGTCTGGGCCTCCCTACTTAGGCTGCTACCCCCGCGACCCGACCCCGGATAAGCGGAAGAAAATGGATGGATGGATACCTAACAATATTTAATGTGAAGTTTTATGTGAATTGATCTCCATAGGGGGAAAAAAAAAGTCATCTCCTTACATTCGTGTAAATTAAACAAAGTAATTATTGTCGCTTTCATACATCAACAGCAAAAATGTCTCAGTTGTCAGCTGAAGATGAGGCAGAGTTACAGTCACTTCTCAAGCAGCTTCTGAGGAGCATCAGTGACAAGATTTCTGGCGCACCATCTACTGAATGCGCTGAAGAGCTTCTCCTTCACCTGGAGGAGACGGACAGAAACTTCCACAAGTAAGGCTAGCAACATGCAGTGTAATGTTCACTTAAGTGTGAGGCTTTAAGGTATGTTTTTCATATTGTTTATTGCTTAGTGTGCTATGACTACTCTTTTGATTTCAGTTATGAGTTTGTCAAGTACCTCCGTCAGTATGTGGAGAACTCTATGGGGACTGTGGTGGATGAGGAGATAAAGAACCTGACCAGAGTAGAGGGACAACATGCAGTTGGAGCGGGACACGACACGCTGATTCATACAGTGACTCGAAGAACCAGAGACTCTGCTGAGTGAGTGTAGCTCAGAGTTTTGCATAAATGCTGAGTTGGCATTCACTTCATATATCACGATGTGCAGCTAATTCAGGTGATGGGTGCTATGATTTAATATTTTAACATTTTTGTATTTTTATTCTTTTCAAAACATTTAACTTTTTTCGTAGATGTTTTCTTAAGAAAAATACCTTGAGCCCTCTTCAGCTCCTTCAGAAACATTTAGTTTGATATCAGCTTCAGCATATATATTTTTTAGCTTTTGTCTCTTACCGCTACTTTAATCTTTTAGCTATCGTTCTGATACTTTTATGTTATAAGTGGTAAATGGACTGTTCTTATATAGCGCCTTTCTATCTGATCAAGATACTCAAAGCTCTTTATACTACAATCTGTGCCCATGTTTACCCATTCATACAACACTCTACTAGATCTGTACAAAGACTAATCAGTGCTTTCATACACTGATGGGACACACATTGGAGGAAATGAGGGGTTCAGCGTCTTGCTGAGGGACACCAGTGTGTGACTGCTGGTGGAATCAAACCCCCAACTCTTGCATTGGAGGACGACTGCTCTATCCACTCAGCCACAGCCGCCCCTTTATAGCTACTACTCTTCTAGTTTTAGCCTTTAGCTGGCCTTTTGCTACTTTTAACTTTTATCTACGGTTCTTCAACTTTTAGCTTTTTGATAGCTTTTTGCTACTTCTACCTAGATATTCACTATTTAGCTTTTAGTTAGTATTTTGATACATTTAACTTGACCTTTAATAGTTTTAATTAGTCTTATTTGTTTTAGTTAGCCATTTGATGTTTTTAGCTAGCCCTTTGCTACATATAACTTAGGGATGCACAATATTATCGGCATGGTATCGGTATCAGACGATATTGGCGATGAAGTTAAATTTTGGACATCGGCCATTCCTTCAAAATAACTCACCAGTGTAAAAGGTGCTGTTTTTGTATGACAACCCAATGACAAGGATGCCTGCAGCGCCAGCACAACGTTATGACGTCACACGCGCCGTTGAGTTTCAATTTGTGAACATTTACAAATTTGCACTGTTCGAGTGTTGTCATTGTGTAAGAGAGAGTGAATGTCATGAATACATTTGACATTAAACATAATCCAAGTTGAAGTGTTACATAATTTTCAGCCCCCTTTTTGGCATCTGCATTTGGTAGCAGGCCAAATTAACAAAGACCATGCAGAATAATGTAGTATTGCAATTTCACAGCAGAGAAAGCTGTGTAGTCTCTGTAAGTAGGCCTAAGAACCAAAAACCCATTGGTATTGGTATTGGTTATCAGCCAAATAAGTTTTAACATATCGGCATATTGGATATCGGACAAAAATCCAATATCGTGCATCCCTAATATAACCTTTAGCTAGCCTTTTGTTGCGTTAAGTAGCATTTTGATACTTTTAGCTTTAAGCTAGCCATTTGGTATGTTAGCATTTAGTGAACATTTTGCTCCTTTAGAAATGATTCCATTCCAATGTATTTTAGGTAGCCTTGTGATGCTTTTAGCTAGTATTTTGCTGTTTTTAACTATTTGCTTGCATTTTGCATCATTTAGTTTGTGCTCTGCTTTTAGTTCAAATAACTCTGTTTCAGTTTATTGAACAAATTTCAGCAGAGTCATTTAGCACTCAGGAGTCATCCTGTATTTTTGCAGAAAGTGTAATTTCCTCTGGTTTATTATATATTTAATTCACATATCTTTTTTTGTTGTTTGTTTTGTAACAGGTATCAGCAGATGATGCAGACTTTGAAAAACACCATGATTGTGGTTGTAGAGTCTCTAATCAACAAATTCGAAGAGGACCAGCTGAGGAAGGAGGAGCTGCACAGAGAGATGGAACCGAGTCAGTCCAACAGCCAGTTCATTGATAACTGCTCAGACAGTGACTCGTCCTTCAACCAGGTTGGAGACATGCACATATCATCCAAATGCAATAAATGATTGTGTGTTATTTAATTTGTTGCTTTATGATGAGCCACAGTGAAGTTCTGTACCCTGGGTCCAAACTCTGGCCTTGGGTGCAAAAATGTACGTTTCCATGTCTGAGAGCAGCTTTATACTGTAGATTATAAATAGTTTTAGAGTATGATTTAGTCAGATCTGCCTGAAATCAATTGAGAAATCAATTATTTAATATTTTGGTCTATGCCAGATAGAAATTCTTGTTTTTGTCTTTTTTTCTTCTTCTTTTTTTTAGAGTTATGCCTTCATCAGACAAGAGCAGCTGCAAGTTTTGGCAGAAAAACTTGACCCCACCAAGCCCAAAGAGGTAGACGGGAAAATCTGAGCGTAGTACTATGTTGTTCTTTTTGTAGGTGTACTCGAGAACTTCGTACCGCTGTTAGTACAACGGTTGTAAAAATCAATGAGGTTATGTACATGGTCTTGCACCGTTGTAAATCTAAGTTTTCATTGGATAATTAGGAAAATGTAGGCCTTAAAGAAGACCTTCAGTAATTAAGTTTGATTTGTGTTAGCCTTTCAGAGTAAACTGCCAGTGTTTAATGAGATCAATAAATGTCGGTGTGATGAACAACTGTTTAGGTCGATGATGTAAATGTGTGTTCAGGTGCGTTGTGATGCTCTGCGTGCTCTGTGCTGTGCTCCTCCATCTGATGTGTTGAGCTGTGAGAGCTGGAGCGTCCTGCGTAAGAACCTCTGCGCTGCTCTTACTGAACCCGACCTCAGCGTGAGTCCTGAGCAGCCTCTTTTATTCAGTGCAGGAGCTGTCGATGTCCTACTAATTTAGTTTGAATTAAGATAACAAATGTAAAACACTCATGTAATCAAACTGTTGTAGATGTAAGTGTGTCAAGTCTGTTACATCAGTTTCACTATAGTAACCTGTGCTGGCATCATCTGGCCTGGCAACAAGCTGTTTTGTTCACGAGAGTGCTGATTGTATTTATCTGGAGTGATGTCATCAGGATTTCCAGCTCTATATTTAAAAAGGTGGATGTCTAAGCTTCACAGTGACATTAAATGAAGGCATTTCCCTGTGCCTTGGAAGCTAGCAGAGAAAAATGAGAACAAGGGACTATTTCTGAATAAATACCTGTTAGGAAACTTCAATTTAAAGATACCTTAGGAAGAGTATTTACTATTTTAGTTACAGGGATTGCTAGATGGTGTCTTTATGGTTTAATTTTTATTCAAATCTCAATTAAAACAAAAATATTTAACTTATTCTGGACTGTGCTTATTCCAACACATTTTGCCAGCACAGTTCACATATATTTTTGCATGTCTATATTACCATTTAATTTTCCTCTCACCTCTGTCAGGAGAATGTGATGCAGTTTTTTGCTAAAAGCTTCTCTTCATCTCCACTGAATGTGACGCGAGAGATCTACACAAACTTAGGTAGGTCAATCTTAATGGACCTTTCACGGTTTGAACGTACCGTCCAGCACCTTCATATCTGTAACAGACATGGTTATTTTTAATAAACAAGGCTTTTAATAGTCCTACTTGATGTGTCTACAGTCACATGATTGTGCAAGGTTATATATCACCATTTTGAGGGATCTAGATCACGTAAACAATTCAAACTCCAACTGTAAAGAAATGTCTAAATGGTGTACCATTTACCTCGATACAACAAGTATAACTAAAGATGTAAATGGTAAACATCCCATACTTTCTAAATATTTTCATCTGTCCTAAAGCAGCAAGAGAGGAGGAAATGGTGGACAAATACTTGCAGGATTAAAGGACTGCAGCTGCATCAAGCTCCTTCCTAAGCTTAGGGTAATGTCTTATCTGAAAAACATGTTCTAAATTCAAACATATGCTTAAAAACTGTTATGGCAGCACCGTACACAGGTTAGACTGTTGTTTGGATGTTCAGCTGATCTATTTTGTTAGCCTTCTACAGTTCTACTGTTTTAGAACCAGTTCTTACAGTTTTAATATTGTGGGAAGATTGCTGATATGGAACTTCCAGTGTTTTTAACTGTTTACGTGATTTAGTCCCTCAAAATGGCTGCCACCTGTGTGGGCGATCTGTAGACGGAACCAATGAAGGAAATCTCCTTTCCCTTCATTAATGTTCAGCCTTTTATACAGAAGTTAGTCTTATTTTCAAATGTTTGGAGATTGTACAGCTTTTACTCGGATACTAAGAAGTACGTTGTGGAAATGATTAAATACTTGTGCAAGTAAATTATTTACAGGACACATACTATTTATTTTATTATTTTGTTAGCAATATTGTTAAAATGTGCATTGCAAGTGTACCTTTACAATGCATTTAACAGAAAATAATTTTTGCTGTGCACATTTTTAAGACGATTAATTTGCCGTTTTTCCGAGCAGCAAAGAGTGTGGAAGCAAGTTTTCTGACTCACAAGCTAAGCTTTCCAAGTGTCTCAGCTGCTGTTAACATCAACAGTCCTGAGATCAGTCGACTTCTCAAACAGGTACAACGTCTCATCTCTAGTGTCTCAACTGTGTCACTTTAACTAAAACGTATCTTACATTTAATACACTCTTTGTTTGTTTCACGTCAGGTTCGATTATTAAATGACTTTCAAAAGGAGGTGACTAACTTCTGGATTCGTCATCCAGAGAAGTGAGTTGTTTAGTGAAATTACAGTCAACAGGTTTCTTGTCCCACTTTTGGTTTTACAGTCTGCACCTACCATTTGACATGTTAAAGGTTTATATTTTAGGAAATCCACTGTGAATGTGGATGTTTATTAGCTGGCAGACATTCTGTAATTTGCTTTTAAGCAGAGAAATCTGTTTATGCCGATTCCTTTTTGCTTTCTTCTTTCTGTCATGCTTTAGATACATGGAAGAAATCATAGAGAGCACATTCTCCCTGTTGTCCTTCCATCATGACCGTGGCTTAACGGAAACAGAGAAAATACTGGAACCAGTCCACTTACTGGCTTTACTGGACGTTAAAGCTACATGGTTTATTAAATGGATGGTGCGTAAATCAATGAATGTTACGATTTAGACGTAGAATACATTTTTTTATCTATTTACTAGACATAAAATCTTTGTTCATGTTGAACGTATGCTGTTTCTGTCCTGATTAAACTGTTTCTGTCTCAGCATGGCTACTACAGCAGGACTGTGGTTCTCAGGCTTCTTGAGAGAAAATACAAGTCTTTGGTGAGTGTTTTATTTTTTTTCAGTCAATATGTCTCAGCAGCGGGCGACATGGTGGCTCAGTTGGTAGAGCTGTTGCCTCTCAGAGAGAAGGTTGCTGGATCAAATCTTGGCCGGGGGCCTGTCTGGGTAGAGTTTGCATGTTCTCTTCGTGCATGCATGGGTTTCCTCCCACAGACCAAAAACATGCGTTAGGCTGATTAGTAACTTTAAATTGTCCCTAGGTGAGAGAAAGAGAGTGAATGGTTGTTCGTCTCATTTGTCTCTATGTGTCCCCGTGATGGACTGGAGACCTGCCCAGGGTGTCCCCCATTTCTCACACAGTGACCGCTGGATATGTGCACCAGTGACCCCCGGGTAAAGATAATGGATGGATGAATGGATGGATGGATGATGGATAGATGATAGATGGATGGATGGAAAGACAGATGTATGTATGGATGATGGGTGGATGGATAGATGGATGGATGTATGATGGATGGATGGATGGACAGATAGATGGAAGGATGGATGGATGGATGGATGGATAGATGGATGGATGATGGATGGAGCAGGTAAAGATGATGGATGGATGGATGGGTGGATGATGGATGATGGATGGATGGATGATGGATGGAAAGACAGATGTATGTATGGCTGATGGATGGATGGATGGATAGATGGACTGATGGATGGATGTGTAGATGGATGGATGGACAGATGGATGGATGGATGGACAGATAGATGGATGGATGGATGCATGTATGTTGGATGGATGGATAAATGGATGATGGATGGATGGATAAATGATGAATGATGGATGAAGGATGATGATGGATGGATTAAAAATTATGGATGCTGGATGGATGGATGGATGGATGCATGGATGATGGATGGATGTCTCAGCAGCTCTTTTGTACTGAAACATTTGACACAAGAGAAAATCACGAGTGGAACCATGAAGTATTTTCCAGACAATCTGCCAGAAACTAGAACATTGTGCTCGTTAGACAACACCACGCATGAAGTAAAATAGAAATTCTTACTCACCAAAGTAAATACATTTAATTTCCTTTATTTAACCAGATTTAAAACCCCACTGAGGTAATTTCCTCACAGGGATTAAAAAAAAATCTAAATCCTGGATTAGTAAACCATACTGGGCCGATGAGTTTCCTATATTGATTACTACCAGCTACATGTGGGTTGTATGTGTTTAATGTGGCTGTTTGTGGACAGGTGCTGTGTCCAACATACTACTAACACTGCACTTGAGAAACGAGTTGTATTTTATTTTTTTCTATTTCAATCCACTCTTCACACTTTAAAGAGGATTGCCTTGGAATCATCCCAGAAATTGTCTTTTAGGATTAATCAATATTTATCGCAGTGATCCTGAACCACTCTTCCATTACAGTAAAAATCCTCATCTGTGTGCTTTTGATTTTTAAAGCCGCCGCTCTGTTGTATGCAGCCTGCACATTTCAGAAACAGCTAAAGGTTTGGCTCTTTTCAGGTGCTGGGGGCTCTTCAGCAGTGCATGCATTACAGCGACTCCTGTGAGCGTTTCACAAGTGAAGCAGCTGATCATCGTTCAGAGCAGCAACGCAATCCTGGTAAGTAAAAGTCTTTATAAAAGTCTCAGTCTCAGCTTTAAAAACATGTTTAAACATCAATTTTTCATGTGTTTAGTCTTTTACTTTAAACTAACCATCAGCAAACTTGCAACAATATTGATTTAACCAAACCTAGACTGGATCTTTTAAGAGCTTAATGAGCACGTATAGCTGAATTTGATGCTTGTGTATATATATATATATATATATATATATATATATATATATATATTTAAGTTTTTACCTTCTTTATATGTTCAGTTGCGTTACTGAACACACACTTTTCCTGCCATTATCAAAGGAGACGTACATTATTTTAAGTCTAATATCAAAAACAACATAAAGCTCCTTTAGTTTTATATTTCAAATTATTTGCACTATATTTTACCTTCTTCTCTTTTTAACACATTGTCTTATTTGAATATGAACAGATCTTTTTTCTACCTTTTGTCTACTTGTACAGTTTATTGGTGGACTGACAAACACTCTTGACTTATTGAGTTTGGCGTTGTGCCTTTTTTGCCGTACTTTAAGGCATAAAATATAAAACGAGTAACTTTGCAGGAGGATTTTCTGAGTTCCATTCTGAATTGCGCAGCCTGCTGTGTGCGTTCACTTGTCAAATTTTCACCAGCTTTCTGTTGAAATATTTAATTTATACGCATAAAAATACCGACCCACCACCAGTTAAACTGCTAACGTTCAAGAATTGTACGTACAATATGTCACCTGGTCTGTTTATCCCAATAGAAATGATTATAGCTGAATGTCACAACAGTATCTCCTGTAAACAATATTATTTTATAATTTTTTTTTTAGCTTTTTAACTATTTATTCCAAATAATGTAAAACAACAACAAAACAATTAAAGATGGCTGTTTATATGATGGGGTGAAACATCGCGAAACACACACGAGCAGTTTATAACGGTGGCACTTGGTAGAAAACTGAATCTTCTTTTTGTTTTATCAGGATGTTTTTCAAAGGGATAAATAAAAAGGATTCTAAAGATTATGTAAAATTACTGCAATCACTTCAAAGTAGTGCGATCAGTTTTAATAGTTTTAAATACATGCTGGAAACGTGAATTAGGTGGATGTTGACATTTTTCACATCTTGTTTTTTGTTGTTTCAGGTTCGTTGCAGAGTGTTTACTCCAGGCAGGAGCTTGAATATGCGTTCTTCGTTCACTCTTTGTGTCTCCTGGGCAAACTCATCGTCTACACCAACGGACGGAAGCTCTTTCCCATCAAACTGAGGAAGCACAAAGGTTTGATACGAGACTCGTGCTTCCAAAATCTGTTTCACGATTTTCCTTTTCGACTCTTCCCCACTGTGAAGTGAAAAAGTCTGCGAAGAGCTGAATATCATAATCGTTCCTTGTCTGATGGAAATGCTGTTACGTCATGTAAGTCAAATGTTTAAGGGCTGCTGAGGTTGATACTTTATTGCCATATACTGATTTATATCTAGTCTTTTTATCGATTTTAAGCAAAGCAATCTTTACAGCCGTTATTTTACTTAGGATTGTTACATCAGCACAGACGTGCCACTCCCTCTGTCTGTCCTGTGCAGTGTTTATTCCTCTCCACTCCATCTTAATCACTAATAAAGTTACATAACGGTGTGAGTGGCACACAGGCAGGACAAATGATAATTGGACTGCACTTATATTGCACCTTTCTATATAATCAAGATACTCAAAGCTCTTTACAACACAATCTATCCCTCGTTTACCTCCACACATCTCTACTACATCTGTACAAAGCTAATCTGAATCTATAGAGACTAATCAGAGACTTTAGATCACATTCAAACATCGATGGGACACACATTGAAGGCAATGAGGGGTTCAGTGTCTTACCCAGGGACACTTCATCATGTGACCCCCAACTCTCCCATTGGAGGACGACTGCTCTAACCATTCAGCCACAGCTGCCCTGATGCTGCCATGAGCAAGTCATCGCCTTCCTTCTTAAAGCTGATTCAAAATCAGCTGATTGAAGTGATTCACTGCATTAAAAAATTCATCCATCCATCATCTTTACCCACTTCTTCCCTTTTGGGTCATAGTGTCACTGGTGCCCATATGTAGCAGCCACAGCGAGGACACCTGGACAGGGCTCCAGTCCATCACATACAAACAACCATTCACTCTCTCACCTAGGGACCATTTAGAGTTACCAATCAGCCTAACATGCATGTTTTTGGTCTGTGGGAGGCAACTGGAAGACCCGGAGGAAACCCATGCATGCACGGAGAGAACATGCAAACTCCACCCAGAAAGTCCTCCGACCGGGATTTGAATCGGCACCCTTCTTGCTGTGAGGCGGCAGCCAGAAATGACAAATTCTTTCTGTTTGAGTTAATGATCAAATCATGTAATGATCCACATTTCCACTCCTTGTAATAAAAAACACATTTATAAGTCATAATGTGTCACTTCCTGTTATGACTGAAGCTTTTGGTTGCCAACACATAACTTATCAATTACCAGTAGTCATTTATCTATGATCATTATTTATTTTGCTCATCAACTAATCATCAGAAAGTTAAATATTGTTGCTTTCAGCCTTAAAGTTTTTCACAGCTTTTCAACATTCTCATGTTTTTGCATAAATCATCTGTCAATGACTGCAAATCAATGGGAAGAGTTAAATTATTTGTGAACTTGTGTCCACACATTTTATTCAAGTGCAGGAAAAATAACTTTAAATTAAAAAAAAAATTAAAATAGTTATTTTTTAATGTAAGGTTTCTGTCCAGTGCAACGATGTAATTTCTAAGAAACTTTGCTTTAAATATTTTTAACAAAATAAAAAGCTAGATTTGTAATATTTCAACTTAACCAGTTGTTAAAACCTCCGAAAAACATTATTTTTTAACTGAAGTTCTTAAACCAGACGTATTTTCTGTGTGTAAATGATACAACACTGACCCTGCACTTTGAAGCATTGACCTCTACTGATATGAAATTTATAAATGTTATTGTCTTCAAGCGTACCAGAATAACTTGGACTTTTTCCCTTTTCCTTCTCAGAAGTATTTTTATTGTCCCTGTCTAGACGCAGTAAGACCGACACGTTTATTTCGTCTGTGTTTCAGATCCAATTAGCCTGACGGACCTGATTGTCATCATGATTGACATCATGTATCGACACCCCCGGCCGCTGCACAGCGATGTCTGTCACACAGGTGGGGCACACGCCCTCAAACACTGATTAAAATCTGCGTCATGTGTTGCGCTCGCCTTCCTGATTGTAGGTCTGGGATCAGCTGCTGAAGGAACAGTGATCCTGTCTCTGAGACACAAAACACTCCTCAGAGCACGTCTTTTATCCATTAACCTTGTTCTGAGTCAGACAGTGTTATATTAGCTCCCTGGAAGACTTTATTCCTTTATTGTTCAGTCTTGGGAATGCACTTTTGTAAATTTGCTGCCAGGGATCAATAATCAGAGGATCACTTCCTTTTGATGACTGTAGTCACGCTGAGCAAGTCTCACTTTTTTAAATCAGTAAGCTGAGGGTGAAGATTACAACCGACTTTGTTCAATTAGTTTTGAGAAACGTTGCAGTATTGAATTCAGTAATTTAATACAAAATGATATTTATGCGATAATTGGTTGATGTTGACATATTTCCACCAAGAAGTGGAGTTAAAGTAATATTACTGGGAAAAATATTTGTCTTTTATTATTTCCTCATGACTAAAATAGCTTTTGGTGCATTTATCTTATCTCAAATTGTTTTTCCAAGGAACCCTGACTAGTAAAACTTACATTATCTGAGTATCTTTTCCTTCAAAATGGCTTAAAAACACAACAGATATCACAAGTTTTAAAAATCTTGGCTGTTGAAAAAGCTGTAGCACGAACACCAAGAACTTTGTCTCATTATCTTGTTCTCGTCTCTCTAATCTTTGTATTTACATATTAAATTAAATGTTCAGTGTAGATAAATGGAAGTTAGTTCTGTTTCGCTGTCTGGCAGAGAGACCAGGATTTCATGAGATTATCTGTGGGGCATCATTTTTAAAATGTGTGACGGATCATTTGGTTGTATAAAACATATTAAACTGGATGAAACTGTCTATGTGCTCAGATTCCCTGTCGCCCAGCTGCTTGGTGATGGAGGTGCTGTGGACGCTGTGTGAACGGACAGAATGCGCTGCAGAATGTCTTCACCAGACTCGAATTGTTGAGACACTTCTGGCACCTGTTATAGCTCTGCTCACTGGACGGCAGGTCTCACAAACTTCTCACTCATCTGATAGTTACACAAAATAAAAATTGGGAATAGTGTAAAAGTTTATGGTGTCACAGATCAGGACGTAAGACATCCTCTGGTTCTTAGTTTTCCGATCAGGGAGTTATAGCTTAGAAAAAGTTTTAATTTAACTATTAACTTCCATAATTCAACAGTTCTGTATTTTGGAGCGCTTTACGTAATTCCTGTTTTTATGACCATCAGTCTGTCCCATTACTTTTTATGGTAGTGTCCCAGTTTGTTGCGACCAATTGACAAATGGGATTGGCGAAGGATTCTCCAGAAAGTCTTGTGATGTTTGCGGCGATTCTCAATTTACTTCTGAATTGCAGAGGCGTGCAATCCTGTCGCTTGAGTTTTGAACATGCTCAAAAACCTAATGGGACAATTTTTATTATAAAATAGTTGTGGGTGTCTTGAACCCTTCTCAGGAGCACTAGAGCTGCATTGTGACACATGCACAAGAGCTCTCCTCTGACAGAAAACATCTCTGGCAAATGTCCAGGTCTAAAAACCACACTGGTGATCAATAATAATTATGGATGCACAATATAATCGGCATGGTATCGGTATCGGCCGATATTAGCGATAAAGTTAAATATCGGACATTCCATCAAAATAACTCACCAATATAAAAGGCTCTGTATATCTATCTATCTATCTATCTATCTATCTATCTATCTATCTATCTATCCATCTATCCATCTATCCATCTATCCATCTATCCATCCATCCATCCATCCATCCATCCATCCATCCATCATCTATCTATCTTTTATAGTTCATTGAGACTTCAGTGGAAGATCTGTCAATTTTCTCATAATTTTGAAACTCCATCTAGTCTTCTAATATTTGCAGCTCAGTGAGACGCTACCTTTAGGAACTTTGTTTCATTTCTCTTTACAACTTTTCTTCAGTTTGTTGAAGCAGCATTGTGCAGAAGCTTATTTATGCACATCTGTCCTGAATTTGTTTCGTATGCTTTGTTGTTTCTGCACCCGTTGGGTAAAATGTTCTGTTTTGTACAATATCTGTATTTTGCAGGCTAAACTGAAAAGTCCTGCGTCCACGCTTACCCTCATTGCTGATGTTCTGGCTCGCATCGCAAACACTGACCAAGGATTAACTCTTTTTCTATATGAGAAGACTCTTGTTGTCGCCCACAATGAGAGGTGAGACAAAACAAAGTTTGTTTTGATGGAAAAAAATAGATTTTCTTCTGGGCATGACGACAAAACTTTAGTGTACTAGACGCATTCATGAGAAATCCTCCTTTCTCACAGATATTAAGAACATAAACTGTTGCTTTTTTTGGTGGGTTGCTGAGACTCTGTTCTGTGTCAAAATGAAGAAAATGTTTTTTCTAGACGCTGAACGGCCTCAGCTTTAGTTTATATTTTCTCCCTGACTAGCCTGTTATCTAGTTCAGCAAAGTCAAACTTTTTATCAAGGCAAATACCATTATTCCTGCATATATTTATTTTATTTTTTGTTAATAAAGATGCATAGATATCCTCAAAACAAGAAATTAATATGAGATCTGGACTTATTGATTGGCCTTGTGCACATTACAGAATTTATATTTTATTCCTTTTTGGGTTCTTTCTTTGTCTCCTTTTCTGCAGAACCTTTGCTGCTCACATCATCGTACAGTTCACCTTGAAGCTGTTGGATAAAACGTTGCCATCACTGAGTGAATCTGATGTGACTCCTGCATTATGTGGAGCCTTCATCTTTGTCTGTAGGCAGATGTACAACACCTGCGAGGGGCTGCAGGTCCTGAGAACATATGGCCTGCACAAAGCCTTGGCTGCTGCATGGAGAAAGGTACCTGCACCACACCTCAGGGTTCAGTCCTCATTATTGGATTCAGCTCTCATATCTGGCATCCATAGACCCTTCTTATTACATAAACTCATTGTAATAAAGTCTACCCTTTGTTAAATCGCATTTGGAGTAATATACACTGGGGTTTTGATTAAAACGAGACATTTTGTGTGCTGTACAGGATATGTAATCCTTTGGCCTCATTGCTTCTCTGCTTTAATTAGTTTTCAGTATTTTAGGAAGCAGAAACACTTTTAAACACAAAAACAATATCATCACGTTACTGGCGCAATCATTTTGGAGTCTGTGTTCATTACAAAACTATTGTGTAAGTCAAAAACGTGTTTTGTGAAAAGCTTTGCACTGCAGCACTAAATCAGCTGCAAAAACATCAGAAGTACGAGTGGACAATTTTTTTTAAATCTTCCTCTGTTTCACATGATCTAACTGACGAGTTTTCGTGCCTAATGATCAGATTCAGCACCTACTCGTGTCATGTTTCATTTGCTTGATGAATTCTGAGTTCTCTCGCTTTTCACCCACCACAGCGAGATACACGCTGCAAGTTGCAAACCGGTGGAATTAACTAACCGTTACAATCCCCTTCATGTTGGTTTTATGAGTGTGCCTTCCATAACCAAACATTTCAGTTAAACATCTTAAATATACAGTGTGTTTTGGAAAAAGAAAACTGGGGTGACACTGCAACGCTAAAAACAACAGGTTTGATATTCTACAGGGCTATTCAACTAAACTGCCCAGGGGGCCACAGTTACTGAAAGCCAAGAGCTCAGGGGCCAAACTTCAGCAGTTATTGTCATTAAGTAAGTTTGTTTTACAGTTTAAAATCTAGTTTTATTTAAAAATGAACCCATTGCTGAGCTGAACTGAGCTCACCTGTGGGCCTGAATTGGTCCCCGTTCGTCTGGGCCGAGTTTTCTTGGTTGAAACGTTTCATCTTTCATTTGAAAGACTTTCATCAGTCTGACGCCATGCGACAAACTCAGTCCTATAAATGGCACCTTCTCAAAGTGGATCAACTAGTTTCCTGGGTACATCCAGAACTAGCTGTTCACATGTAAAAGGAGGAAAATCAGATTAACAATCGATCGTTAAAGCCCTGATGTACGGTGGCCCTGAGGTTTACACGAACAACATTTGAAAAAACAAATTCCATCCATCCATCCATCCATCCATCCATCCATCCATCCATCCATCCATCCATCCATCCATTATCTTTATCTGCTTCTTCCTTTTTGGGTCATGGGGGTAACTGGTGCCCATGTCCAGCCATCACTGTGCAAGAGGCAATGTACAACCTAGGCAGGTCTCCAGTCCATCACAGGGACACGTAGAGACAAACGAGACAACCAACCATTCAGTCTCTCTCTCATCTAGAGACAATTTAGAGTTACCAATCAGCCTAACATGCATGTTTTTGGTCTGTGGGAGGAAACCGGTGTACCTGGAGGAAACCCACGCATGCACAGAGAGAACATGCAAAGTCTACCTAAAGGGGCCCTCGGATCCAGGATTTGAACCAGGGTAACCTGCTCACGGAGAAGCAGCAGCTCTACCAACTGCACCACCGTGCTGCCCCAAACTACATTTAAAAAAACAAATTGCATTAAGCCAAACTGGAAGTGGTGGGGTGGGACCACTGGGAAACACGAGACATCGCTGATTCAGACTGTGTAAAACTGAGATTACCAGTGACATTCATGTTTACTAAAACGCGCAACAAGCAGAATAACTTCCGGTTCAAAAGCCAAACGCCCCGTCGTTCAATCAGCGATGTCTCATGTTTCCCAGTGGTCCCTCTCCACAACTTCCACTTTGGCTTAATGCACCGTATTTTTTGCCCTATAAGTCGCTTTTTTTTTCTTTTGCATAATTAGCATGCCCTGTGACTTATATGCCGAAGTGACATATTTATGGATTTTTTTTCCATATTTATAAACTAATTTTTGGCTGAGATCTGACCGTTTTCATTCATTCTGACTGAAAATATTGAACATTACCATTTTCAGCCGCTAGATGGCATTCAAGTAGTATGGCATGCTGTTGTGTCATGTAATAGGTAAAAGTGGCTATTAATGACACAATCGGCTTGCCATAGCCTGCCACCTTTGTTCTGCTCGCTGCTTGAAGCAACCAAATTAGCTTCATTTAGCTGCGCCGCCCCAGCGAAATGCAGCTAATTTGACCATTAAAGTGCATTTATTAAGTAAAAGTTCAACTGAGACACACCTTTACTATGAAGTCAAGCTAACAAATAATTGTTTTAAGTGCTTACCTTGTTAAATTTCGAATAAATGCACAGCGTTCTTCCTCCCTGATTTCCTCCCTCTGCGTGCTCCCGGAGCACTGAGGCAGCGAATACTTTTGAAATACAGCTGATATGACCATTAAAGTCCTTTTATTAAGTAAAAGTTAGACGAAGACACATCTTTGCTATAATTTCGAGCAAACAAATAATTGTTTTTAGGTGTTAATCTTGTTAAATTTTTGTTAAAAGTCCTCCTGTGCACACTCCCGGGGCCGCCATTTGACAGCCAATCGATTTTTGGCACAACACCAGCCCACATTTCCGGGATGTCAGCAGTGACATGTAACAAAAGCGACGCATCAGCGGTGACACATAATAGATGCGACGTATACGGCAAAATTACATATTTATAGATTTTCCCCCTTTATTAGACAGATTTGGACTGATGTGACTTAAAGGGCGGTGCGACGTGTACGGCGGAAAATACGGTAATTGCGGTTTTTGAAATGTTGTTAATTTAAACCTCAGGGCCACTGTACTAATGGCACTTGCTATTTCTTACCCAGGTGTAACAGTTTCAGCTGAATAAACACATGAAGGCGCTCCTGTAAAGTTTCCTTCTGTATTTAAATAGTGGTATGAGTATGGTCAGGGATAATCTAGCAGCTTAAATGTTTTACGTTTCTTCACATTGAATTTAATGTGGCATAATAAAAAATATTTTTCTTTCTCTCTGTTTATTAGACTAGCTCATTAGCAGAAAGGATTTCAACTCCTGTACTCGGAGCCATCGCTGCAACATCCGCTGGAGAAATGCAGAACACGTAAGAACACACAAACTCACACATTATTTAAACACTTTATTGGAAGTCCACGTTTAAAAATAGTAAATTCATCTTGATGAAGTGTGGTAGTGATTCAGTGAGCGTTTTAAAAACACAGAACGGTTTTTCATCTCGTGGCTACACCCAGTGATTTATCTCTGCAGAAACCCACAGGTTTGATAAGTTTGTAGATAAAGTTTACAACTTCTAATAACTAACTTTCCTCTTATCTGATACATTTTTTTAGCATGTGCAAAAGGATGTTCTTCAAGCAACGGAAAACTACACACTAAAAATGTGAACTCAGGCAGCTGAGACTGCCCGAACAGCTACTGTAAAAAACACAGCAAAAATATTTACAAATAAAAAGTTTTGTTTCTATTTATAACAACCATTAGAACCATAACTCAGGTAACATAGAAACTGGTACCTGCATAATATGAACGTCTTGATCAATAACTGACAAAATATCATAATATCTGGTCTAACCTGGTCAGCTGTGATGATATTAATGGCAAATATTCCCAACAGTGTAACACACCTAATTGATCAACATTTATAATTTTTATTTATTTTCACTGGACAACAACATATCAAAGGATGCTCTTCCTTGTCCTCCTATTGGCTGCATTTATTTAAATGAACTTGTGACACTAAAATGCTTTGGGTGTTTTTAACTTGAACCTCCGTTTTAAAATTTGACTAGAACCTGGTATTGTTAAACACTACGCCACATACTTTAGAGTGGGGTGTCCAGTGGTTATTGAGGGCAACAGTCCCGCATGTTCGAGATGTTTCTCTGCTCCGATACACCTGATTTGAATCATTGGGAGATTAAAAGTTTTTTTCAGAACATGAAGCGATAATTCAACCATTGAATCAGATCTGTCGGGAGCAGATAAATATCTAAAACATGCAGGATAGTGGTCCTTGAGGACCAGGATTAGACACCCCTGATATGGAGGGGTTCTATATATCATTTATGTGGCTGAGCTTACTTTTCAAGGTGTATCCTATTTTTTAAGTATTTTAATTAGATCCTCAAGACATTTGTTAGCAGTGTAGGGAACAGTTGCAGTTTTCCAACATGAGGATGATCATTTTGATTTTTAGTATTTGCTATTATGAGGCCCTAAGCAACAAATATTGTTGTGCCTTATTTAGATCTTTCAGTTACACCAAGAATAACAGGCAGAGGTTCAAGTTTAATAAAGTTATTCATAATCTCAGCCATAACACAAATGTCATAAAACAGATGTCGTTTGTGGTCGTTTCTATCACATGTGGTACATGAGGTGGTACAAAATTATGTACAGAGGGTCCCAGTTACTCCACAAAATAGCAAAATATAAAGTGTAAAAATAATAGTAATAGTAATAGTAAATAAGTAGTAGTAAACAAATAATAAAAAAAATTAGTAAATAAGGATCCAAGATATACACCAAGATACACGCCAAACAGTACGCTAAAAGAGAAGATAGACGCTAAACACTTAGAATGTAAAACAATACGACATAACAACAGCAGCCCAAACATGAGTCTATGGTGAGCAAATAGGTATGAATGAATACAGCAGCATTAGATCAGCAGCATGGATAATCAGCAGCACTGATAAGTAACATATCTCCAATTAAAGTGGCATTAAAGTGTTTTTTTTTCTTACAGTAATTTTTTTGAGTTAGGGATTTATGAGTCTAACATCTTCAGGGTAGAAGCTGTTCCTCAGTCTAGTGGTTCTACACTTAATGCTCTGCAACCTTCTGCCTAAGGGGAGTGGGGCAACAATTGTGTGTGCTGGGTGAGTGGGGTCCTTCATGATGCAGGTGGCCCTCTTCCACCTGCATCATTTAAAATCTGGACACGCCACATAACTGTGAGAGATGGGTGTGACTGTGGTTTGTCACTTGCACTTTTTGGCTGTTTGATGTAGGCTTCTGTCTCTTTCTTTATTTTGTTTTTATCTGGTTTTGAAACAGACTCGTCTGGGAGGAGACTTTGTTGGACAGTCTGCTGAACTTTGCAGTCACTCCTAAAGGCCTGCTGCTGCTCCAGCAGACAGGAGCCATAAATGAATGCATCTCCTACATGTTCTCTCGCTTCACCAAAAAACTACAGGTATAAAGTATATTGTGAAGTTTAGCTTTCTCCTCACCACTTGTACAGTACTGTTCTCAGATTAAACAGCAGTAAGTGGCAAATGGTGTTATTGTGAGAGTCTACAGAAAGTCATGCAACTTTTTCAGGGTTCTCAACTATGTCGTGTGAGTCGCAGGAGCACACAGCCCCATCATTTGAGTTTGTTCAGAAAACTAGTGCAGTTTCTCTCAAAATAGTCGCAAAGTCATCTCTAACTCGACTCAAGAGCACGAGAGCTGTATTTTGACTCCTGCACTGGAGCTCTCCTCTGACAGAAAGCATCCAAGGCAAATGTTTGTGTATAAGTACTCCCCTGATGATATTGAATAATCATTCAAACGTGTACTCCAGCAGATTACATCATGAAAATACAGGCAGCTGCCAAGGTGAGCATAAAGTGAGCAGAGTTGGGCAGCAAAATTATGTGCACACTAGAAAACTTTTTTTTTTTCCAAATACCTGGACACAAATACCGTAATTTCCAGAATATTGAGCTGCACCTGGATATAAACTGCACCCACTAAATAAGAAATATATATATATTTTTGTACATATATAGACAATGCTCGTCTATAAGCTGCAGGTGTCCACGTTGTAACATGAGATATTTGCACAGAAAGATTTTTTAAACTTTTAATTAAATATGTACCGGTATCATACACAAATACTTACAGTAAATATTGTTTTCTGAACAGTGCCTGTAACATGCTGGTTAAAATAAATAAATAAATAAATAAATAAATAAATACAGTAGCCTACCAGGAAGACATTGATCGCTATCCAGCCTCCTGTGCAAGCTTATGCTGTTCTTCTGCTCCACAGTCAGGACCCACTGACAGACTGGAGCAAAGGTTACTCTGTGCATGCAGGAGAGCCCCCCCTCACATGCTCTGCGGATGCAGGGGAATACCCCTCACGGGGAGGGGGGGATTCCTCTCCCTCGTTTCATTGGTCCACTGTGACCTGTTCAGTAATTTCATTGGTCAGACTTTTTTTTTAACCTTTTTTTATACAGGTAGTCTCATTGAGTCACAAGGACCCACCCCCCAAGAGAGATGTATATTGGACAGCTATGTGAGCACCCGGATGTGTCGAGGCTAAATGTTTTGGTGGCAGGAAGCTCGTTAGCCCGTCAAAACATATAAAATCCATGAATCATCCACAGCATTGTTAAAGCGCATGAAAAAAGTAGCGACTTATAGTCCAGAAATTACGGTAGTTTGTGATTTTTCAACATCTGATCACTCAAAACACGACCGCACCACTCGACGATCATTTGGTCACAAGCACTCAGAGTTCAATGAGACAACAACAGAAAATTCACACATTTTCTTGTAATTTGTCTGATTTCACCAACTGGTCTTTGGTAAGCACTTTGGTAACAGTTTCTGTTTTAAATGTGCTATATAAATAAATCTGACTTGACTTGACTTGGTCTTCCAATCATCCCAGCTCAGTGAGAAACCAAATCTATCTGAACCAATATGAGTTAGAAACTTCAGATGTCTCCAAATGTCTTATTTGACCTTTTTGTTCTTTAGTACACTCCCTAACAGATCTGTCTACTTTAGAAGGGTGCACGTGGCGAGTTTTGAAGCCTCAAACTCTGATATGACATTTTGACAGATCTTTTGTGCATTTCTTAGATATACACCTAATAACAGGGCAATCATGTAAAAAGGATTGATTGAGAATGAAAGGTTGATAATCATCAGGTAAATTTGAATCAGATTTGAAATTTATCTATTTTGCTATTTATGACCTAAAAAGATGAGCTTTGTCAACACGTTTACAGTTCGCTTAAGTAATCTCTCAAGCTGCAAGAGAATCTGGCTGTGCTCAAAAACCCTTCCTTGGTTTTATATTAGCCAGACAGTTTCGACAAGGCGTTGGCTTTTAATTTGAGATGATGCAGCCATTTTTAACAACTTTGAATTATGCAGTACGGAGGTTCTCTGGAATAGGAATATTGAGCTGGAAATAGTACTTCCTATTTAATGTACATGTATATTGTCCTGCCTTCATAGGAATCTTTGTTTTCAGGGGCTGATACAGACTGGTATCAATATACTATAATTATATAATTTGACAACATGTTTCATAACCTTTTATGAGTGCCTTGGAATAATTAACTTCTGGTAGGGAGCTGTTTGTTGTTTCCTGAAGTAACAAACGTTTTGTTGCACTGGAGGTTTTCTATAAGGCTGATTACATTTGCAGTCATCCATTAAAAAAATGATTCGAAAAATGTACGTAAAAAATATAGTTTATTCTTTGCTGAAGATTCCAAAAGATTGTACAAATTATACATATTTAAATAATTTCTTGCAATTTCCCAAACTGTAACTGTGTATGTAGAATATGCATTTATGCTTTGTTGCATTTAGACGTGCAGCAAAACACATTCCATGTGTTAAACATTTATTATTTCTGTAGCACATTTCTTTGGTTTCCCTGTTCTCTTCGTGCTGCATGGGTTTTCTCCAGGTACTCCAGTTTCCTCCCACAAACCAAAAACACGTATGTTAGTCTGATTGGTAACTCTAAATTGTCTCCAGGTATGAATGAGAGAGTGAATGGTTGTTTGTCTCTATATGTGGCCCTGTGATGGACTGGAGACCAGCCCAGGGTGTACCCCACCCCTCACACAGTGACTGCTGGACATGGGCACCAGTGACCCCTGTGAACCGAAAAGGAAAACGAGGGTAAAGATGGATGGATGGAAGCTGAAAGAAGCTGAAGCAGAACAAAATGTGAACAGAGCAGTAAAATGTTGTAAACACATCTAAAGATCTGAAGGATGTAAAATGAGCTCAATTCATTTTCTTTGGGAACAAAAATGGCAGAAAAGGCTAAATGTTTCAAAAAGCTAAAGTTGCACCAGTATCAAAAGTCATAGCAGGATTGTCCTGAAAGAGCTGAACGTTTTCGTTCATGATTTGTTGAAATAGCTTCAAAACTGCGGGACGAGAAACATACTGAAAATCATATGGAAGAAAAATGTATGACAATAGTGTGATGCTTCATAAACTTTCACACTATAATGTCTTCACTATTCAACCGGTGTTGGATGCTGAAACGTAATTCTTAAAGCTTCATATTGTAGATGCACAATCATACGATGGTTGTAGAATTGCGCCGCTCCAGGTGGCTGCATGTTGGAGCAGCTCTGTCACATTCATTCTGAAATTTTGCTTTTGGAAACTTTAATTCCTCTTTTTCTGGAAGTAAATCACAGTTTTTGGATGACCGTTTCCTCTGGTATCAGATGCTGTGCAGCTGGAAGGATTTTTACAGAAACTTTTTTAGTTTTGGACATTTGTTATGATGCGTAACCATGGCAACAAGGCAGTTTTCTACAACCAACAGCAGCTGATCAACATCTCAAGAGCTCAAATAATATCTCAACTACAGCTCCAAATCTCAAATGAGTTGAAAAGGATGTTCTGTGGACGCATTCTCATCTACCTGCCAGCTGTGCTCAAGTACCTGATCACTGAGATCCTGGAACTAGCAGGAAACACGGCTCATGACAGCGAAAGGACAGGATCACCCTCGGCACCTACAGTTGGCTGTCCGCAGCGACGAGGAGCTCAGCAGACTGCTGGGAGGAGTGGCCATCGCTCTGGGAGGAGTTCTGCCCAGCATTCGGGTGGTCCTACAGTCCGGGGGGACCGAGAGGCCAGCAGAGTCTGGGTGGACGGATTGGACGGCATCTGCAGCCAGTTTCTTAGGATCCACTGTGGGATGGACCTTTACAAGAGATCCTTCCTGTCTACAGCCATCAGCATCTATAACATCTCTTAATGAAATGAGGATAACGGGCTACAACAACAAATAATTTCCCTTTGGGATTAATAAAGTATTTTTGAATTGAATTGAATGGAATACACATACACACAAACTGTGACTGACTCCCTATGGTTCTAATTTACTGCCCCTATTTATGCACTCAAGTAATTCCTGTTTTCATTAGACATTACGCTTTAATTACAGCATGTAATTATGTTAGACCTGTTTTTAGTTTTTGTGTGTGTGTTGTAATTAACAAAGGCATCGCATGCTGAAAATCCATCTGCTCTTTGATTTCTTACATTTATTTACTCCTTTAAGGATAACTCTTTTCTGAAAAGTTAGCTTTTTTTCATGCACTTTCTTCTAATTTAACAACCTTCTCTCAATTCTTGAACAGATAAAAAGTACTTGGACGAAATGCACAAACACTAACGTTTATGGGATGTTCGTGCTTGTAGGTGAGCCGCTGTGAGAAGTTTGGGTACGGAGTGATGGTGACACAGGTAGCTGCAACGGCTCCAGGGGTTGTAGCTCTGCAAAGTTCAGGTACTAAAGCACTCGTTTGCACAAACAAACCGTTGCCAGCTGCGATGCCGAAGGGGTGAATTGTAAGAAGTTGTGCAGCTGGTGTAAAGCAGACTTGAGAAGGAACGTCTTTGTGCGATTGTTTTTGTCTGAATAAAATGGATGAAGAGCAACAGAAGGCGTTCTCGCTCAGGTGTGAACATTTAGCTGCAGGAAATATTTCTGTTTGCCAAATCTGGCACCGTTGATGCTGATTACAACGTTGTGTGGAGAAGTGAATGTTCTGTACAGTAGCTGCTTTTGTTTTGTAGTTTCAATGCTCTTTTTCTCAACAAATGCCAGACGAAGCTATTTATAACTTTTCCAGTATTTTGACACCTTTGAGTGCTGCTTTATTTAAAAAAAAATTAAATAAATATACAAGTGTGATTTTTAATTTTTTTTTGTGTGTGTAGCGGTTAAGATTACAAACGTACTCCTGACAGACAAGTTGTTTAACACGATGTTGGTAAAGTGTGTAAAGTTTGTCAGTTTCCTCGTCGGCTTGAATTTCTTTTGACGCCAGCGTCTTGATTTTTGTCTCTAGGTTTTGTCCGGGCGCTGGTAGTAGAACTGTGGTCGGCTCTCGAATGCGGCAGCGACGATGTCAAAGTTGTTCGTCCCAGACCCGCACCCATGGACCACACAGGCAGGATCTGCCACAAGGTGCGTGAAGACTCCACTTTCCTCTGTTTCATTTGTTCACTGCATTATTTTGCAATGGTTTTCTACCGTCTCATTGTTTTGCAGCAACTTTTAAACATAAATATTAGTGGAACAGAAGTTGACTTCAAGCTTTAAACCTCCACCACACCTTTATTTAGTATTTAAAACTTTGTTTAAAGTAATTAAGTTAAGTAGTTCTGTACAAGGTTGGGAAGTACCAAGTTAACATGTAAGGGCGTTACATATTTTAATTACAAAACAAAAGTTATCAATGGTGACTGTAAAAAGAAAAATACTGAAGTTTTGCCTCATGTATCTTGCAACAACGACCTGTTCAGTTCATGCAGAGGTTGTAGTTTTTCTGTCCCAAAACAGACGTTTTAAAATTTAACGATGTAAAATAAGCATACAGAGAAGAGTCCAAACAGCTCACACATACAGTGGGTTGTAAGACCTCTTTGTTTTGTTGCTTCACCACCAGGAGTTTTACTGGATTTTTTTATTTGATTTTATAATATTATATAAAAATATTACAGATTAACAAAGTTACGTGGGTGAAAATAAGCTTCTTTAGTTATATAATTCATTTAACAGAACTGCTGTATGCATACATTGTATATTCACTTGCTTTTGCCTTAAATCCTCAACTATCATGTTCAGAAGCTGCTTGTTTAGATTTAGGTGGATCAAATGTAGGTATAGCTGTAGACACAGAAGACAAGTCTAATATGTTGGAGAAAATGTCTGGTTTTAGTTTTTTATGTTCTGTTTATGTCCGTTTTAATCTGCTCCAAGCTGCTTGATTGATTCATTTTCTTCTAATTTTTGTCTTACAAATTATAATAAAAAACATGCTCCTGCATTTGATGAGATCAGTTTAGGTTCTAGCATTAGTAGTGGCTGAATCAGTGGCTGAAACTGCACCAATAGTCTCTTAGAGGCAAAAAAAAGTCAATACAAGTACAAGTACGTGTATAGACTCTACTGACATTATGATACTGACAAATGTTTGCAATGATCTGTTCAGATTCATAATTGAAAATAAGCAAACAAAACCCGATTCACTAAAAACAGGTTTAAATTTATTTTAAAGAGTAAAGATAGCTGAAAAACACAGAACAAAACTATACACAGGACAGAAAATAATTAAATAACATTATTTGTACGAATAACTATTATTTGGTGCAAATAAAGCAGCCACACCTGTCATTTTTTATATGAGCACTCGTCACCCAAGTGTTGCAGCCTGGAACTTATTCAAACTTTAGGTCTGCGATCTAACAAAGTTAAGTTGGGTCCTCAGGAGGGCTGTGATCAGTCATACATCAGGGAAACTAAACAGCCACTGGCCAAAAGGATGGCCCAGCACAGAAGATCAGCATCATCAGGCCAGGACTCTGTGGTCTACACTCATCTGCAGGCCAGAGGTCACTCATTCAGGGATGAAGATGTTCACATCGATAGAGACACACATTGGTTTGAGAGAGGAGTGAAGGAAGCCATCTTTGTGAAGAGAAATCACCCATCATTAAACAGGGGTGGAGGTCGTCCATGTTCAGCTGTCCCCACCTTACAGTGTTGTTATTGCTAGTATCACTCAGCCCTCGGTGAATAACAAGCAACCATCAGGGTACTAATAATCGGTCGTTATGCTGTTGGTCCTTCTTTATCATGTGAACAGCTAGTTTTAGATGTCATCAGCAAACTGGTTGATCTACTATGAGAAGGTGCTATTTATAGGACCAAGTTTGTTGTAGCTCCCCAGACTGAAGAAGTCTTTTGGACAAAAGACGAAACGTTTCAACAAGAATTGTTGGATTGTATACCTGGATTATTGAGCATGGACTTTGTTGGTTTCAACAAGAAGAATCTGTCCAGAGGACCTGACTCAACCTTGTAAGATTTTTCTACCTGGACTATTGAGCATGAATCTGAATATTTTGGTCTGCAACTTAAATCAGTTTTAATTATTACAATATACTATATACTAATAGTAATACAGTAGTCCCTCGTTTATCATGGGTGATCCGTACCCTGAAGACTCGCGATAAGTGAAAAACCGTCAAGTAGGAATATTAGTACAAGTAGTAGTTTATTTTATTTTATATATATATATAAAGGCATTTTAAACCCCTCCCACAATCTTGCAATATTCTAAACAATGTTTCTAAACTCTAAATGCACAGAATGTCATGATTTCAGCTCCCTGCCTCCTCTGCTCTTTGCCAACTGCAAGCGCTCTTGGCCACGCCCACTTCTCCGCTCTGCACAGAGAACAGCTGATCAGCTGCAACAGGAAGCTTATCCTGCAGTACAGGCTGCACAAAGGTGCAGCAGGTGCTAAATAATTTAAAATTTATTTTTAATAAAAATTCCATGCGTATCGTGCGGCTCATCCATCAATCAGCCAGTTGTGTGTCATGTCCAATTTTATTTAGAAAAACCGCTATAGAGCGAGTCCGCAATAAACGAACCGCGAAGTAGCGAGGGACTACTGTATATACTAAACTATACTATACTATTCAACTGTTTTAGTTCTTGCCAGTTGAAAACATTAAATAAACAATAACTCATTTATTCCTGCAGCATCTTGTCCTGTTTATTCAGTCATTTTAGCTATAGTTGTTGGTTTAGCTGCAGGACAATTTAAGTTTAGGCAGAATTTCTCTTTTCAATATAAGCTTCAAAATTGAATTTGAAGCTTGTGGGTGTGCTTGCGTGTACAAGTCTGCATGAGCCTGATGCTGCTGTCTGACAGGAGCGAGTCATCTCGCTCGGTGAAGCCAGCCGAGTGAAAACAGGCTTTCAGTGGACTGTGTCCTCAGTCCTGCCACTGGCAGCTTTAAAGTCGGCCTTATCAGTGGGTCAGCTGCCACATCACATACCTACAGTCCTCCGAGCACAACTGTGTGCCAAAGCTTTTTTTTTTTTTTTGCCCACATAAAAAAACAGAAAATAATGCAGATTTAAAATGTAGGAAATGTTGCCTTGATTAGATTATCTTTAAAGTCATTTTATTAGAAATTGATTCATTTTTTTTTTTTGTTAAAGTGTTAACGAGGCATCCCTTTTCTTTGTCTTTGGTTTCTGCTGCTCTGTTTTGATCCAGTGTGTGAGCGGAAAGACTTCCGGGGGTTTAATATTCTTCAGGCTGCATGACGTTTCTGCTCAGATGCTCATGCGTGTGAAGATGTTTTAATATCGTGTGAGAATGTGCCCACAGGTTATCAGCCTTGCTCTTCTTTGCTTTGCTTTTTGCATCGGTAAATTGTTAACTTTCTTTTTGTCTCAAGCGTTTCTGCACATTCTTCAGATTTTTCTTTGAAACGCCGTGTTCTGTCTTTGTTGCATTTGAAACCAAACGTCCTGACAGTTGCTGTCACTCGACTGCGTCAGTGATCAATTTAGAGTTGAGTTTTCATCCAATTTTAATATTGATACATTCTGTGTTCTCTCTTGACTTGGTTGTTTCTGTCCCGTCAGTCCTTCCTGTCCTTGGTCAACCTCCTGTCGTCCTCCCAGTCCGTGTGGGAGCTTCTGGGACGACGGTCTTTAGCCAACAAGAGTGAATACACCCTAAGAGAAATGCCAACTTCCATACCTGTGAGTGGTTTTCACCGACTTCACACACTTCCTTTTTCAACCATGAGAGGGCATGTTTGCACTTTTATTCAGCCTCCAACCAACACCCACACGCTTCTTTTATTTCACAAAGGCCTTCCATTAAAACCCTCACCAAACACCGAGGCGGATGTGTGTTTTCCGCCCTAGACATCCCGCTCGTCCACACAGTTTTCATTTTGAACCACGACTGCTGTGTTCTTTCTCACAGCTGCTTATTTTGCTCCACAGGATTTGATTGACAGGCTGATTGCTGTGAATTCAGATGTGAAGATCCATTCCCTGTTCCACTATGAGCAGTCTCACACATTCGGCCTGAGGTGAGATTGATATTTTGTTCATATAACTTAACATCAGTGGGGACGCACATGTTATCAGATTAACAGCTGGAGACTGCACACATGCACTCCCTGGTTTCTAGGATTAGTAGACTTCCATGTTTTTTTTTTTATTCTTTGATTACCCAGCGTTGGAAATCTGATGAAGAGATTTCCCTGGATCAGACTGAAATAAGCTTTGATGTGTGGATATTTATGAGCATGAGGCACCCAACAAGTGAGAAAACCATTAAAATAAAAAAAAGAATTATAATGTGTAAGGAAAGTTGTATACATTTTCTATGTGAAAGTAGGAGATCCGAAGCGTTCTGTGCTTGATGTTATTGATGTTTGTTTACACAGACACAAACCATATGTTGTCCAGGCTGTGCGGAAGCCTCTGGTGGCTGCTGCGCAGTCTTTTGCATTTTTAACAGCTTTTTGAATCACAATAGCCTCAGCTTGTTTTGGAGTCTTGCTGACTCACTCTGTGTTTGCCCGTCAGTCAGCCCACTCGTGTCAGAATCCAAGTGAAAGGAACAAGTTGCTTTGTTCGTTCAGACTCCATTAACTGACAGCTTTATACTCTTGGCCTCTTCATGGGGCGCTAACTGTCCTTGTTACGGTATCTTATGATCAATAAATTAAAGCCTGCTATGATTATACTGTGAGGTAGAAGTGGCATGATTTATATAAATATATATATTTTTAATTTCTCCTTTGTTTATACAGGTAATCTCATTGAGTCATATGATCTCATTCCCAAGAGACTTGTTTCAGGTAAATGTACAAAAAAAAATCAGCTTCAGTAAAATCAGCAATATCTCACTAAATTAGTTTTATTTGCTCATCACAGCAAATTAAAGTGTAAAAACTAGAGTTCAGCTGTTAAAATTTTATTTCTGGTCGATGCTGATCTTTAGAAGTCAGTGCTGATGTACAACACTGACTGCTTTATTTTTTCCTTGTAGTCAATATGTATTTTAATTGAACAAAATATAACTAGAATTGCCTAACTTAAATGAAACAGTTAATTAACAAACCCTTAGAACAAGTTGCACATTAATTATTTATATTGCTAAAGTTTATAGTCTACAGAGGAAATGTACCCCCTTTGAAAAATAAAAATAAATTGTGCCTACTGTTAGCTGTCCGTAGCAGCTGCATCTTAATTTTTCTTAAGAACTGATGACGGTGAGTACGAACAGACATGGTTGATTATTTAGTTTTATCATTTAAAAGAGGCATTATCAGTCAGTTAAAAACATAATGGGTCACCTGTGCTTCTGCAGCCACGTGTTGCTCTTTAGCCCCTCAAATAGGTCTGCTTCTTATAACTTTGTCTAAAAATGACATGAACCTGAGTAATAATTACATTTGAATCAACTAGTTTTATAAGTTATTCTCTTTAAATTTATTTCACTAAACTCACTAAACTTCTGCAGTAGAATAACACAAATTAAACAAGTTCGGTTGTTTGTTGTTTTGCAGGCATTAGTCAACATCATTTTCTATAAACGTACAGAGTTTTCTGTCATTTCAGTGTCAGAATTACAAAAATACAACTTTAGTTTTCTCTAGAGCATTTTAAAATTCAGTGATCAGGTTTAGTGTTAACCAGTCGTTCTTCAAATCCACCAGAAAAGGCATATTTTAAACATATTTAAGACAAATTGTAGTAAGTGCAGAATATAGAGCTTGTTCAGTTCAATTCAGTTTATTTATATAGCACCAAGTCACAACAGAAGTCATCTCAGGGCACTGAACAGAAACATTTATATACATAAATAATAATTTAACACTATTAAACAGACTGCTTTGAGTTTAACTCCATCACAGAACTCTCATCTTGAGCAAGCATGAAGGCGACAGTGGAAAGGAAAAACTCCCTCGTGAGGAAGAAACCTTTAGCAGAACCAGGCTCAGGACGAGCGGCCATCTGCTTCAACCAGCTGGGTTTGAGAGGAACAGATACACAATGGCAGGTCATGAATCACGTTAAGATAAAAATAGTATCAAATGAAAACTATTCAATTTTAGTTGGGGACATCAGATTTTAAAACATCAGATGTTTGTAATAAAAATAAACTAGTTTCTTAAAGTAAAGTGAAAAATATTTTTAAAAAGCCTGCTGCCTCTGATTAAAACTTTGTAAATAAAGATTGTGATATTGTAATAAACATTATAAAATACAAACCGATCTTACTTTTTATGCTGCTTAATGTTTGATCTCTAAATTTGATATTCAGTCAGACTTTTTTAAAATAAGAGATTTACTCAAATAAGTCTACGTACTTCGAAATAAGAAATGGTAATTACTTTGTATAGGATCTATATTGAGTGAAGTTTTTGTCTTACCCCCCCCCAATTTTACAATTTCACATTAAGAAACAATTAATAAAACACAAGTCTGTTATCTTTATTGTGTGGCTTTTTACAAACTGAAATGCGTTTAGCAACGTGCGGTTTATTTGTTCAGGTTTATTTTGACATTTATGTTTTCAGTCAAAGGTCATTTCCTTGTTTGGTCATTTAGTTCACGCTGTCCCTCAGTGGAAGTTCTGTTTGCAACACGCTCACCTGAGCAACGTAAACTGGAACGGTCGAACCCAAAAGAGTCATAAACACGTCTTCACCCACAATGCACCTGTGGCTGTTTTCGTTTAATTTTCTTATTATCCTTTGCTTCAAGGAATTTGACTGTATGGTATATAGTTTGTGCTTTATTGATCCCAGAGAGGAGAACTGCATGAATAAAGCTGCATTTACAAGGAAGGATGATTTACTAATTAATAAAAACATGTGTTTAAAAAGTAAGATGAAAATAGCCAAAAACATTTGGTCAAGATGTTAATGACAAATATGAAGCTTGTATTTTATTGTTAGTGCAGCCATATGTTTATTATATTATATTTATTTACTTATGCTATAATATGAAATACATGTGATTCATATTTACCTTTAAGATATCATTGAATACAATACAATGTGTACAAATAAGTACCAAAAGCAAAGAAAAAGATACTGTCGAAGAAAAATGTCCTTTGTTTTTTTTTTAAACGTTGTTTTTTAAATACCATTTTTGGCTTCAAAAACATTAAATAGGTGATGGGCACCAGTGACCCCCACGACCCAAAAAGGAAGAAGTGGGTAAAGATAATGAACGGAGCTGGACTGATAAGTATAAAGAGTAACTGAAACTGGGTTGTAAACATTACCACCCACATGTTGGTGTCACCACAGCAGAGTTTTATGTGCGTTATTGTCAAAGCTTACCATAATATATAAAGCACAGAGAGAACAACCTCATTTCAGCGTTAGGAAGATTTTTAAAAAGGTTGAAAGTATAATATATTTGAAACGTTGTCCTGCTTCATGTTATTGGGTTTCTGCAGAAACTGATGTTGAGAAAATTAATTCCTTTGAATCAGTCAGGGGATTGACAGATCTAAAAGAAGCAGGGCTGTGTGAAACAGCATTTTACTTAGATTGTGTTCAATCCGGCTTAATGAATGTTTAGTGGACATTGCCCCCTGCAGTATAAAGATTGGTCAAACTTCACAGTAAACACAGACTGCTTTAAATGATGAAATGCATTTATGAACACGATTTCTACATTAAAACACAACAGGATTCTTTAATATCCTAAAATGGTTTGGTAATTTTTCCAGTCTCAGCAGGAATCCCACACAACATGTATTTGCCATTATCTGGAGACGTTCCATAACAGCGTTCAGTTATAAATAGACTGCTTTGCTCTTCTTTAATGCATTTTTCTTTGACTGTCAGCGAGGAAGAGAATACATTCCCTCTGGAAATTCAAGGCAAACATCTTAGTAATTGCTCAACTTTCTATGGTAGCAACATTAGAAAACAATACCACAGATGCCACAGTGGTTTACCGTTTGGTCAAAACACCGGTCTTGGTTTTAATCAAATGTCCACGAATGCTTTTATGGTCTCGACTCTGGCCTCATATGTTGGCGTGTGAACTTTTTAACTGTTTGGACTCAGCGGGTGAGGGTCACCGGGGTTCTCTCTGATGCCCTTCTGTCTTCTACTGGTTCCCCTCAGGGCTGCGTTTTTTGGCCCCTTTATTTTATACACAAGCGATTGTTGCAGCCAGTTCCCACAGCGTCACATTTTAAAGTTTGCTGATGACTCTGTCATCCTGTCCCTTCTCAGCAGTGATGACCCAGACCCCGGACCTGTGGTCGGGGACTTCACTGAATGGTGTGAGTCTTCCTTTTTAAAGTTAAATGTTTCCAAGACAAAGGAGATGGTCACTGGTTTTAGAAAACACTCTTCAGTTGCAGCTCCTGGAGTCATTAACGGTGAAGCTGTTGAGGTGCTGCAACAATATAAACATCTGGGAACTGTTCTTCATGACAAACTGACCTTTGACCCCCATGTGAACTCACTTTGTAAGAAGACCCATTAGAGAATGTATTTTTATCAGAAGCTCTGGTTTTAATGTTGATTCTACTTATATGAGAAGGTTTTATTCATGTTTTATTGAGTCTCTTAACTTTCACCTTCATCGGTTGGTTTGGATTTTTGACGTGCAAGAACAGAAACAAACTCTCGGGGATTGTCAGGATGTGCAGCGTAACTGCTGGCACAGCCCTACAGAACCTCACTGACCTACACAAGGCGTGGTCAGTGAACAAGGCCAGACAGATTCTGGCAGATCCTGATCATCCACTCCATGGTGAGTTCAGGTTATTTCCATCTGGACGCAGGTATCTGCTGCCCAGATGTAGAACGAACAGACTGAAAAACTCATTCATCCCTGTAGAGATCAGGCTTCTTAACGAACAATGATGATTTCATGTACGGTTATTTTAACGTTTTAATGTCTTAATGTCCAGTGTGGATATTTTCTGTGTCTACTGACAGTGAAACAAATAGCCCCTTGGGGATAATAAAGATTACTGAACAGTAAACTGGGCTAATCTTGCATAATAGTGACTTAAAATTCTGTGGCACTCATTAAAGCTTTC